AACTGAAAAAAGCGCAACGACAAAAAGCGCAACAGAAAAAAGCGCAAAAAAAAGAAAAAAAACGCAAACAGAAAAAAGCACACACAGAAAACTGTGCACACCGGAAAATGCAAAAAGAGCCATTTTCGCACAAAGACCTATAAGGACTAGATGACACATTTATACATGATTGTTAGGGCTGCTGTGAGAGTGTTGTGTTTGACCTGACGCGATATACTACCACTTAAAGCATACCACTACCATGTGCATTCACATCACCACGATACAGGCGATAATCGCTTGACACAACGTCTATTTTTTTCTTCTTCACTATTTATTCAACGACTATTCTCGAATAAATAAACATAAAACTATCCTTGATATTGGCATTACACGGAGTATCTCGTACATGCTCCCTAGTCCCAAGCTTGCATTCTATAACAACCCGTTTCTATCGCAAAACTTCACTCTCTTTCTTCCGAGTCATCAAACATGCATTCGCTATATCTCTCGCACCAACATTCATTCGCATAAAAATACCCTGATAAAACACACATCATAATCATAACATTTTTATAACATTTAAGCTGAGAATGAATATTATTTGTGAATACTAAAAACACTAACTCTGTAGACTACACTAAGTATATAGTAAGAAAAGTAGGTCATGTATGATGTGTATATACTAGGCCTCACCAAAAAGAGAATGGAAAAACAGCCGTGTATTCTAAAAGAATTGTAACACAAACAATGGAATGAAAGCGTTTTCTTCTGTCAGTATGAACACTAAACATGTATTCAAATCTGGCGCGCGGAAAAAGAAAAGTATGGGCGACGGTCGTTAGTTTCAAAAACTGCACGAGATATCATTTTTTTTTAATGAAAATTCATTCACATATGTTACATCTTTTGCGACAGCCTTAATTAGTGCGTTGGGCTTGTATGAAAACTCACCTCGAACTAAATCAATTACATGCTACTTATTTTAACATGACAAGGTAAGCGTCACCCAACTGTTGTGATGTGAGGTGAGGACAGGGTCAACAATTAACCAACACAAAGTCTGTATACAATTAACGTCTTTATTGTTTGAAAGTACGAACGAGACATAGACTGCCTATTAGAGAATGGACCCCCAAACTTTCCTAACCCCACCTTTTATTCCCTACCTAACCTCTAAGTTTTCTGCGCTTTATGTCACTTCCATACCAATCATTTCTATGCTACATTAGACGTTTGTACTATTTATTTACATTCTTTAATCTCAATATAACTAAAAAAGACTATAGTTTGAAGGGTAATGAAAACATGTAAACAAATAGGACGCTACTCTAAATCTACGCAAATACTTATATGTAACAATCCTAACACCAATCAAAGCATGTGTTGAACAGCATAATAGACAAAGAGAGATGTAGTTTTATTATAACACCAGGCTTTGACTCGGACCTACTTCAATGGTGTCTACATTGTTAAACTGATTAACTATTTGATGTAGTGCTCTATTGGCTCAGTAGGAAATGTGCATAATCTAAAAATATAAATTCCATTTCGTTCGGGGGGAAGGGGGGGGGGGGTTAGACGGTAGACTCTTTGGGCCGAGACCCCCCCCCCCCCCCAACCCCGAACTGATGTCTGGATAAAACTCTCTTCTACGCAAACACCCAACCACCTAATTACCCCCACACACATCTTCCCACACACCACCAAAAAATCTACCTACCCACGAACCCACCAACTAACCCACCTACCCGTATATATATATATATATATATATATATATATATATATATATATATATATATATATATATATATATATATATATATATATATATATATATATATAAATATAAATATATATATATTGGGTAGGTAAGTAGGTAGGTAGGTAGGTAGGTAGGTAGGTAGGTAGGTAGGTAGGTAGGTAGGTAGGTAGGTAGGTAGATATAGGTAGGTAGATATAGGTACATCATGATGAAATAATATTAAATACATAATGATTATGATGTGTGTTTTATCAGGGTATTTTTGTGCGAATGAATGTTGGTGCGAGAGATATAGCGAGTTTTCATACAAGCCCAACGCACTAATTAAGGCTGTCGCAAAAGATGTAACATATGTGAATGAATTTTCATTAAAAAAAAAATGATATCTCGTGCAGTTTTTGAAACTAACGACCGTCGCCCATACTTTTCTTTTTCCGCGCGCCAGATTTGAATACATGTTTAGTGTTCATACTGACAGAAGAAAACGCTTTCATTCCATTGTTTGTGTTACAATTCTTTTAGAATACACGGCTGTTTTTCCATTCTCTTTTTGGTGAGGCCTAGTATATACACATCATACATGACCTACTTTTCTTACTATATACTTAGTGTAGTCTACAGAGTTAGTGTTTTTAGTATTCACAAATAATATTCATTCTCAGCTTAAATGTTATAAAAATGTTATGATTATGATGTGTGTTTTATCAGGGTATTTTTATGCGAATGAATGTTGGTGCGAGAGATATAGCGAATGCATGTTTGATGACTCGGAAGAAAGAGAGTGAAGTTTTGCGATAGAAACGGGTTGTTATAGAATGCAAGCTTGGGACTAGGGAGCATGTACGAGATACTCCGTGTAATGCCAATATCAAGGATAGTTTTATGTTTATTTATTCGAGAATAGTCGTTGAATAAATAGTGAAGAAGAAAAAAAATAGACGTTGTGTCAAGCGATTATCGCCTGTATCGTGGTGATGTGAATGCACATGGTAGTGGTATGCTTTAAGTGGTAGTATATCGCGTCAGGTCAAACACAACACTCTCACAGCAGCCCTAACAATCATGTATAAATGTGTCATCTAGTCCTTATAGGTCTTTGTGCGAAAATGGCTCTTTTTGCATTTTCCGGTGTGCACAGTTTTCTGTGTGTGCTTTTTTCTGTTTGCGTTTTTTTTCTTTTTTTTTGCGCTTTTTTCTGTTGCGCTTTTTGTCGTTGCGCTTTTTTCAGTTTGCGTTTTTTTCCGTTTGCGCTTTTTTCTGTGTGCGCTTTTTTCCGTTTGCGCTTTTTTCTGTTTGCGCTTTTTTCTGTGTGCGCTTTTTTCTCTTTGCGCTTTTTTCCGTTTGCGCTTTTTTCTGTTTGCGCTTTTTTCCGTTTGCGCTTTTTTCCGTTTGCGCTTTTTTCCGTGTGCGCTTTTTTCTCTTTGCGCTTTTTTCCGTTTGCGCTTTTTTCTCTTTGCGCTTTTTTCTGTGTGCGCTTTTTTTTCTTTGCGCTTTTTTCTGTGTGCGCTTTTTTCTCTTTGCGCTTTTTTCCGTGTGCGCTTTTTTCTCTTTGCGCTTTTTTCCGTTTGCGCTTTTTTCCGTTGCGCTTTTTGTTTTGCGCTTTTTTCCGTTGCGCTTTTTTCCGTTGCGGTTCTTTCTGGGAACCAACCCTAGTCCTACACACCAGGGTAACAAAACAATTTGTAAGAGTTTCATCAACGCGTTACCAATTGTGTATTTTTAGTCGTGTGAACTTTTTTAAAAATTGAGATAGTTAAAATATAAACAACGCCACAGCTATTTTTTTTTCGGATCCTTGTTCCGGGGGCGCAGGTTGGTTCACACTACCACTCAGACGCCCTTGGGCGTGCTGTATGAAAGCGTTGAGTGTACGTTAATCATCCTCCGTAATACGGAGGTTGAATACCTTTCAACGACCGCCTAGATGTCAGAGGCGTAGCGGGAGTTGACCGGTTACACTATCGTTGGTAGCCTGGTGCCACCCCTTGGTTTGTTTTGATCATCAAAGGTAGAGGCAGTAGCGTAGCGAGGGGGGGGGGGGGCGGGGGGACACGTGTCCCCGGACGCCGACCTTAGGGGGCGCCAAAATGGGTTGGACAAATAAATTGAAAGGTTGAGGGGGGTGCAAAACGAAAGGTTGAGGGGGGTGCAAATCGAAATCTCTAGGGGGGGGGGGGTGTGCAAATCGAAAGTTTGAGGGGAGGGGGTGCAAATGGAAATCTCAAGGGAGGGAGTGCAAATCGAAAGTTTGAGGGGGGGGGGGGGGTGCAAATCGAAATCTTAATCTCGAGGGGGGGGGGTGCAAATCGAAAAGTCTTTTGTCCCCGGGCTCCGGGAAGGGTCGCTACGCCTCTGGGTAGAGGCCTACCTTGTCCCTATTGTAGCATATTCGGGTAATTGGTGTCATCCGTATGCCCGGGCGGGGGGGGGGGCGTCGAAAGCCACCACTGTTGCAGTTTGACCGTTGAACCAAGTAGTATGATGGAATTTCAGGGACGGCAAACAGTTGGGAGGTGGGGGGGGGGATTTCCCTGTTCGACCCCCCCCCCCTCCACCACCACCACTGAATCCCACTGCCTGTACAGTAAAAAAGGACTGGGGGCCTATTTAGAACTTCTAACCAATTTATTTATTTTTTTAAATTTTATTCATGTAAAGCAAATACTAAAACTCCATTGTAAAAGGTTTAATTTTTTAAAGACGGAATAGGGCCCCTATGAGCCCTGGGCTCCTATGCCTTGTTTATCCGAGCTTTACGGTAGCTACGCCACTTGGCCTATATTAATAATAATATAAAGTAAGCAGAATCTTGGTCTATAACAGGGGCGTAGCGAGGGGGCGGGGGGTGCGGACCACACCGGGTGACACCATTTAGGGGGGTGACACCAAGACAAAAAATAGCAAAATGTATAGAGGAAAATGATAATTCCACTTAATTAAGTGATTAATTCGAGTGTTAATAGTCTTTTAAGAGGTGCAAATCGAAAGTTTGGGGGGGGGGTGCAAATCGAAAATTGAAAGTTTGTCCCCGGGAAGGGTCGCTACGCCTCTGGGGGTGACACCATTAAGTGACGCACCGTGTGACACCCGACCTCGCTACGCCACTGGTGTATAAACAATACTATAAGGTGTTGTATTGAATACGACTATCCTAAACATTTAGAATTCTAAACAATACTTTTGTGTTTTGTATCCTAAACACTTAAATCTATACATTTACTATAAAATACTTTTTCTTTTCATCCAGCTTTCAAAAGTTACACTCATTGAAGACGCCAGTGAAGATGAAAGAAGATTTGAACTTAGCCTTGATGAATCTTCAAGTAGCAAAGTAACTTTTCAAGCTCGATCAATGTTCGCCAAAGTGGCTTGGTTAAAGGATATTCGAGATGCCCTAGGAAACTTAGGTAATTATGAGATTACATGTATGGTTTCTTTCAAACATTTTTTCCAGGTGGTAAGTGTGGCATTGCAAATTTCGGGGTACACGGACGTTCGTTTATGTATATTTTTTCTCAATAAATGATATAGTTTTATTCATTTCGTCATTTGGCATCGGCGCTAAATTGTGTAAGAGATTTCAAGATTTGCCAATGCTTCTATTTAAAAAGTAAGTTAGGTTTTTTATAATATTTGCTTTATTCTCTAGTTAACAATAATTCGTTTTTAATGAAGTAGACACACATGCGACTACTATCCCTTAAACACGATTAGCCAACCTGGCGCTTCTTAAAGGCCGTGATTACTCTTAGGGGTCATCCTTTTATAACGCCTACACAAATTTAGAATTTTAGACCCCCTCTGTCTGCTTTGAACTATTCCCCCCCCCCCTTCCCCACCTCTATGTGAATGTCCTCAAAAATTTAGTAGACATCTCAAAATTTACTACCATTTTACTATATTAATAACATGTATTATAATCTACGAGCTGACTCGCGACGTAGCATTACGCCGCTATTTATTTGTTTTATTTTCTATTTTTCAGTAATTCATAATTTGTGAATTATCAGTAGCTCGTGAAGGACGAATATCCTCTCCCTCACTTTCCACTCCCCCCCCCCCCCCCTCCCCGTGAAAGCAGCCGTCCGTGACGACAGTTTACAGGCGACAATTGAAAGATCATGCAGAACTCGATATTACCTCCCCTTAGTTTCAAATCGTTCAAAAACTAAATTATCTGCCCCAAATAAAAGCGTCACTAATTGAACGCGGCTCTACGATTGCAAACAGCTCACCAGAGTGATGGGTGGGGGTGGTAGCGATATGGTCTGTTGAGCATGCCTGGAGAGCGAGAGAGAGGTTGGCGTGCCTCTACGTCTTGTCCCGCCTGGTCCATCTATGAAGAGAATTATATATATTACTTATATAGATTAACTGAAACCCTATTTGATTTTTTTTCCCGTAAGTAATGCTTATTATTGTGAATGTGACATTAACATGTTTGTTATTAGGCCAAAATATTAAATGTATAATCTAGAGCACGGGTTCCCAAACTGGGGGTCGCGACTCCCCTGGGGGGTCGCCAACTGGTAGACTAAACCCTAGCAATGAAATCTTCTTCTTCTTCGTTCTTAATTGAGATTATGGTGGAGGATTTAGACAACAAGTCCAACTTCATGAACAAACCGGACTGTGGTCTCCAGATCAGCAGGTTCCCCATACAATTTTTCCCTGAGTGGTGTGAGCAGGGGCCAGTGTCTGACTCGCGCCTGGCTATACAAAAACATTCCTGAAGGACGTGCTCCGTATTTTCCGGGGCCTTGCCACAAGGGCACATTTCGCCACACCCAACCTTTAGTTTTTTATGCATGTGTTGATTTAGTCTGTTATGGCCTGTTCTAAGTCGAAAGATTATGTATTATTAGCAATGAAATAAAAAGCACATATGTTTAGAAGAATATCTGAATAAAAAATAAACAATGCGTATTGTGCAAAGTTGTTCTTAGTGATGAGTCTATGAAGATTTCAAAGCTAAAACGTCCTTTTGAGACTAGTCATTCGGAACACACCAAAAAAGATTTGGAGTTCTTTCATCAAGCTAGTTGCAAACGTCAGAACAGTAAGTTTTCACAAAGAAAACAGCATTAGTGCAAGCATCATATGAATTGCCAAGCATAAAAAAACAATCCTCACACAATAGGAGAAAATCTCATCAAACCCTGCATGTTGAGGATGGTGAAATTAATTCTTCGGGATTCCAGTGCAGTAAAGATGCAACAAATATCTCTGTCTAACAATACTATTCAGCGGCACATAGATCTAGCAGACATGTCCATAGATGTTAAAAAATATATTTTGAAAAAAATTATTTTGAATATTCGTGTTACCCGTTGTTTGTCTTTGTGAAATATATTCATTCGATGATGGCAAAGAAGAGTTGATATTTTGTGAAGATATCATGGAGAAAATAAATACGTTTTTTTTTTAAAACTGGATGATTAAAATGGGAAAACGGCTATGGGGTTTGTATTGTTGTTGCGTCATGTTTGGTTCAAAATTGGGCTTTCAAAAAGTAAAAGATTAGCTCCTTATGAAGAGGAATCCACTGCATGATTCACCGGTATGCCATCTTAAGCAAGACTCTTCCGACTCCATTGCTAATAAAAGTCGTAAATTATATTAAATCTGGAGCCCTAAACACCCGTCTGTTTCAAGAACTGTGCAAAGACATGAATAAAGATCACGAGGTTCTACACTAGAGTAAGCTGGCTGTCAATAGGAAATGTGAATCGTGTTTTTGAATTGAAAGATGTAATCAAGTTGTTCTTGGAAATGCAAGGGAAACAAGACCTTTTGATATACTTTAGAACACGTTACCCATCCTCTGTTTCCCTGGATGTTGCCAGCATTTCCGATGAATATAAGCTGAGTTCTTAAATTTGCGGAATGATTCCGCGTCACTTATCATGTTAAATGAAAAACTGCTGAAAATTTTTTTGGTGTGGTATGCACCGTTCATACCCAAACGTGAAATCGATTGCCTTTTGAGTTTTATTTCCTTTTGTGTCTTTTCCAATTAGAAACAAAACAAAGAAATAAATTAAATGTTGAGAATCACATGAGGTTGGTGTTAACAAAAACTCAACCGCGAATGTAAAGCCATTCAATTTCACCCATCGCATTAAAACAGATATCAACAATAATTAATATTGAAAGTCTACTAGAAAATCGTATTTAGTGCTTATTAATTTCCTCACTAATTTCGACTTTTTAATTCTATGGGGGTCGCGGGTGACTTACGTTTTGTAAAAGGGGGTCGCCACTCGAAAAAGTTTGGGAGTTTCTAGAGTGTAGAGAAAAACATTAGTATGCTTTTAAAAATATTAAAGTATAAATATCTTATTGCAATCATTTGACCCATTACCAACCAAACGCACAATTAGGTGCTAAAAGTATTATTCTGTATTTGTAGAATGTATTTTAAAAATTAATATTAGCATTTATAAGATTAATAAGTTACAAGGCCTCCTCAGGTTCATGACCTCTATTTCTGTTTACTTCATTCCTCGCTTACCAAAGAGTTACTTTTTTTTACGTGTCTTAGGTTAGGACTTTTATAAAATGTAGACAATGAGGAGGAGGGTTTCTAAAGGTTTGACAACACGTTTTTGCAATAATGTTAGAAACTGAGTTTAAATCGATACTTCACGTTGGTAGATGACTTTTCTGGTAAAATGCTATAAAAAAAATGAATCAATCGAGGCTTAATGAACATTGACCAACCTCAGTAAATATTTTTGAATTTTTTTTAAACAAAGTGCAGTTTTTTAAGAGAGACTGTAGTCTAAGACATAATGTCATTTTAGGTGTTGGGTCCTGGCTTTTTGTGAGGATATGTTACGTTGGGAGGGAGGGGGTAGAAGGTAAAAATCGTAAAAAAATCATGACGTCGCTTATGATATGGCTGATTTACGCAAAAATAAAATATTACTAAAGGGTCATCTATAAAAGACGTCACGCTTTTTTTGACGATTTTTACCTTCCCCCCTCCCCTCCGTCACACGTCGTCACAAAAAGCCAGACCCTCCCCCCTAAAATGACGTCACACCTCAGCTTACAACCCCCCCCCCCCCCTCAAAATTGCTGTTGAATTTTTCTTAAAACATCTATATTTTTCCAAAATCTTGCCAGAACTCTGTCAACATAGAGTATTTAGATCAATTCCTATTACAATTTATTAAAACCGTTTTCTAAAACGCGAAATAACGGCTAAAACCCGTTATCTAATATTGCTTTTTTATATTGAAAAAAGTGACACCACACCATCTAACCCCCCCCCCCCCTTCCCCCTCATCACACACCGTCACAAATTGCGGACCCCCCTCCCCCCCCAACGAGTGTGACGTCATTTATGGACGACCCCTAACCTAACAAATAATCCTTAAACAACTAAAAACTAAATTTAAAAATAAACAATAACAAAAATGTTCGAAGAAATAAAGCAACAAAAAATATATATGAGCTACATTAAAAAAAAACATCATTATTATAACTTTAAAAAAAATGTCAAAAACACAACTAAAACTAAATCTGAAAGGAAGCTCCGTAAATAAAAAACACGTGTAAATTTAAAGGGGGTAAAAATTAAACATTCTTTTAAAAAAAATATTGTCTCTGATAAAATCTTATGTGTAAACGTTCTGTGGAAGTTTGTTTTCTGTTAACTTTTATAAATCAGACGCTGGAGTTAAAACACTGTCTCGGAACTGAGTCGTGGTTATGGAGTGAGAACAAAGTGGCATGACATTATTGATAGTTTGATACATCAAGAACACAAAGCACTAATAACTGGAAAAAAAAAGTGGAGTTAGAACAGTCTGTTTCTAGAAAGCGAGATATTTTGTCTGAGATTATTTGTCCTTGAGATAATTGCCCTGAGATCATTTTTCCGTGAGATATTTTGTCTGAGATCATTTGTCCTGAAATCATTTGTCATGGAACCCTAGGAAACATATCTAAATTAAATGTGTATCCCATGGAACGCCAACCCTCTTTTGTAGACATCTAAATATAATATTTATACAGGAAAATGAACTTAAATTACAGGTATCTTATCAAAGAAGAGCTCATCTCAGAAAATTGCGAGTGAAACAAATGATTCAGCAATCCAGTCACTGAACGCGTCATCATCTCAATCTCTATCAATATCTGATGTCAAAAAGCAAACCCTCACATACAAAGATGAAAGTGAATCGGAGCTGGCAAAAACAGGTAGGCCCCATAGTTATTCTGCTTAAACACTTTTTGTCTAAAGGCGTCTTTACATTATGTAATTAGAGGAGCTGCTTTTTAACTTTCATCAAAAATCTATCTGTAACCAAATTTTCAGGAGGGGATGGTAGCGGAGGCTGGTTAATTTGTACTATACATTTTTAAAAAAAATTAAGTTTATGAAAGAAGCTCTGAGTCGATCAAATCCTGAATTTTAAAAAATATATACTATATTTAAGAGCAAACTACCTTAACCTTAATGAAAAGAAAGCTGTTTGGGACCAACTATTTAAAAGCAGCTGATCCTAAATTCAGTTTAAAATAATGTATTTGGGACCGTCTATGCTGTTTTTAGAGCAATGTTATAACATTGAGCAATTTATTGTTAACTGGTTGGTCACAATAGTAATGGTTATTTAAAAGACAATCAAGCTTTCCAACTACGTGGAATAAGTGAATGAGTGAAAATTTCTAATAGTGTCCAATGTAAGTTTCTAGTAGGAACAAATGGACGTTTCTAATAGGCACGAATGGACGTTTGCAGTCCAATTAGTCGAAATGGAGCTACAAAATTTATTTGCTCAGCCGGGCATTTTTATAGTAAAGACAAAAGCACTACATCGAAAAAGCCGTTAGTAAACAATTGTAAATACACCTAATATCGTTGTTGGTAAGCTACTTGAAATTGTTAACCTTTTATGCAATGCTTTGAGTATTCAAAACATCCAATAGCTAATCTATCATTCAATTTTTAAATTCTTTAACATTAATTACAATATCAACTCAAGAGAGATGTAGCGGGGTTCAAAATGGTTTTTGTAATATGTATCCGTCGAAATTAAACCATTGCTCTATCATTTGAGTAAGAAAAGATGTTGAAGGGTTGATGATAATTTGTAGGTTTTGTTCAATTCCGACTTAATACTACAAGTCGGACAATAATTCTTTACATGTCAGTTGCTTTGCTAACGTTTTTTTTTTAAAGAAGTAGAATTACTAGCCCAATCTTTGACCCTCTCTTGCATCTCCTGACCTAAGACAAACTTGGCCCTTGATTAAAAGAGACTACCGGCAGTTGTATGCACACTTCTACCTACCTATCTGTCCCGTAGTCTTGAACCGTTCTTGCGCCACAGGTTTCGTTTTGACCATCTTCCTCCATTTCTCTCTGTCCTCTTCAATTTCAATGTCCAGAGGCGTAGCTTGGGGGGGGGGGGGGGGAGCGGGCGCCGATCCTGGGAGGGCGCAGTAGAGGTGACCGGCAAAAACCGCTTTCCAACTTTTTCTGGGATTGAGTAGCGCTTATTCGCCACTGGAAAATTGCAAGGATTTGTACTGGGTTGTAGAATAGATAATCCTTTTAACATTTAGATAAGAAACCAGTAGCGTAGCCAGGATCGTCATTTTCTCCATCATTTTATATATATATATATATATATATATATATATATATATATATATATATATATATATATATATATATATATATATATATATATATACTAGCTGTATGTCATTGCTTCGCTATGATGTAAAATAAATTTGAAAGTAGTATTTTGAAGAAAGAAGAAAAAACACACAATGTAGGCCGACAAAACAAAATAATTTATCATTCTAAACAAAAAAAAAAACAAAAACACAACACAACCAAAAACAATGAACGCAACACAATCCTTGTAAAAAACAATTTGACATAATGATTCCTAGAATATTAAGACAAACGAACTAGGGGAAATAATCACTCTCTTAATATAAATATGTAGTATATTTCTAAAAATTTAATTAAACGTCAAAACAGATCAAAAATCACTTTAGTATGTAGTATAGAAGCTTAATTTTATTCGTTTTTAAAAAATATTTTGTCTACAATCTGAATTAAATATATTGTCATCATAAATGCTAAAATTTTACAGCATAATGTAAGTTTTTTAAACCAGAGTTGGTATAAAATCACGCTTTTCAAGTTTATAGTAACATTTAATCTAACAGGTGGAACATTGTAAATAATAGCGGACACATAAATAAAATATTGATCTTACAGTACAGATTTCACATTTTTTAATTAGCTACTGTTTTTTGTGTTCTTTAAAAATCATTTTTAACATAATGATAAGGTATGGGTTAGATCACTGTATTGCACACACACCACTTTACTAGACCTACTAAACGAGGTAAAAATTGTATAACACGACGACTGTTACTGCTTTGTTACTTTGTTCAACCTAACTGATAAGTTAAAACTGTAATATACTATTATCGAATTGTTCTAAAGACACGACCAACAGTAGACCAAATAAGCTTTCACCTTCAAACTGCACTATTCAACGAATCTTTAACAATAGTTTTATAATCGCACTGATTTAAATCCTATCGTGAATTATATCAGTAGGGTGTGTGTCTTTACCTCCGCCGAAGCACTGAGATTGACTTACCAAACCTCTGAGGTTCGATCGAACACAGGTTTAGAACCACTGATCTAAACTATTTTTTTATTTTATTCTTTTTAATTCGTTTCGGCTTCCTACGGAGCAATGGTGCAGTATAGTAATTTAAATAGTAGTCATAATTTATTTTCTACTTTTTAGTGCATTAGTACATAAAAGCTTGTTATTAAAACGTTTTTTATGAATTTTTTACTTTCTCGTATATACGTAGTATAGAGAAAGTATTGTAATCGTGCAAAAAAAATCGAGATTTTTACAAATCTCGACGTTTAACACCTCACTGATATGGAAAAACATAATTTTGCAATCTTGTCCGTATGTCTGTGTGTGTGTCTGTGTGTCTGTCTGTGTGTAAACACGATTACTTGAGTACCATTACAGCTAGGTTGATGAAATTTCATATATAATTATTATATCAAAATCGTAGATCCGTATCAACTTTTGAGCGATTTCCGATAACCGGAAGTGGTACTTTTTCTACTTTGAATTTTTCAAAAGCCTATAACTTGAGTACTAATTCAGATAGATAAATGAAATTTCACATGTAAGTAAAAGATCTAATTCTCTACCTTCTATCAAATTTTGAGTAATTTCCGTTGACCGGAAGTACTAATTTACGCTATTTCCGATTTCTCAAAAAACGCATGTAAATTTATAAAGTACTAATACTATTGCGCACTATTACGCACATTTGGTGTTGGTGCTCGCTTGGTGCGCAATTTTTTTTTCTACTAGATTTTATTCTATTTTTAAAAGTTTAAGTAAACAAAAATCATGTCTATATTCCGAGTTGACATCCCACGTAGTGTTATATTAGAATATTCGAGAAAGTTTAGGGGAGATCACTCCCGGTTTATTTTTACAAGCTTTTATTTAACTCACTTCTTCGGTCGACAGTCTGTCGACAGTCTGTCGTTAGTATAGATCGAAACGCCAGAGCGAAATTGCAGGCACTTCTACTTGACAGATACGGTTCGTAATTGGTACGTGGGTCAAGACATGAAGACAATGCATTGTGACATTCAATTTGACTTAATTGGTCGATTGATTAATTTTTTATGAATTAATTAAAAATTTGACCAAATTAGTAGGCAGTCCTATCCAACTACCCCACTCGCGGGTGCCCTGGCATAACGGCCCCGTCAATTCGGCCCCGTCTAAACAGCCCCGTTAATATGACCCCGTCAAATCGACCCCCGACAAAACGACCCCGTAAAATAGGCTCCCGTCATCTTGACTCGCGACATAAAGGCTCCTGAAAAATGGGCTCCCGACATTTAGGCTCCCGACAAATGAACTCTCGACATATTGGCTCCCGACATATGGGCTCACGACAAATGGGCTACTGTCAAATGGGCTCACGACATATTGGCTACCGACAAATGGGCTCCCGACTTATTGGCTCCAGACAATTGGGCTCACGACATATTGGCTTCCGACAAAATGACTCAGGACATATTGACTCCAAACTAATGAATGGCATGACCACTATTGGCATAAAAGTAACCATTTTGTTCTACCTCCACTACCACTATAACCTCTTTTAAATACCTGCATGAAATTGTTTTTCATGAACTAACATCAATTCACAAACAAATCGAGCCCGTAACAGCTAAATTCCATCAATTCTAAAGTTTTGATAATGTTTAATTTACAAAAGTAAAGATCTGTTGCAGTAGCGTACGCAGGGGGGGGGGGGGGGGAGCAGGGGGAGCGGCCGCTCCCCCTCTGGCCATTTTTAGCAAAGTGGCGCCTTTTTTGGAAACTTTTTAAACTCTAAGTTTTAAGCAATGTTATTTGTTAAAAAAATATTTTTGGTCGGCACATCTATGTAAATCACAAGATTTCTTTTCATGCAGCAATTAAGCATTATTGTACTAGTCTAGTAGTGTCTACGTTTACAACACGTATTAATAGCTGCATCAGTTTTCTATTCTAAAAATAACCACTACGATGCATTAGAATTAGAATTTTTAAAAATCCTCTACAGGTAGACTTGGCAAGAGGGGTGTTAAGTTTAAGGCAACTGTATAATGTATTTGCTTTCGAAAATTGCATTAGAAAATGTTATACATAAAACTTCACACATAATTTAAATTACTTTATATATACAGTTTGAATCGTGTGATTAATTTTTTAAAAATTACTATACAGAAACAAATACAACTGATGTGGCACCTCTATTTAAATTTACTTATGGGCAAGCTGCGTAGCGGTGGGGAAATTTTGACAAGGTCAACAACGTCGTCACGATGAAGTAGTAGTATTCTTACAGTTTGGGCGATAGTGATAAGATTACAAATTATATGAAACAGTTACAACCCCCCTCCCCCATGGACCCCTCTGTAAAAAAAAAATATTGTCATAATACCACTGCTACTTATTTAAATATATTTCTGAATCAGTATACATGTGTAATATATATGTATGTTTAGAACATTCATCTAAAAACTGACGCTATGTTCACTCTGAGTTGGTTATCTCCCCCCCCCCCACACCTCACCACCACAATTGTGTAGAGCGACATTAATGTCACACCTAGGTATACACTAGGTTGGATAATTGACCTAAAGTGACCGGACAGTAAAAGGGTGTGTGAGCAATACAGTGATCTAACCCATACCTATCACTATGTTAAAAATGATCTTTAAGGAACACAAAGAAGCAGTAGTTAATTAAAAAAAATATATGATCTGAACTAAAATACCGACATGTAGTTAAATGTAGGCTGTTATTCCGAATGTGTTTCAATTGTATCGAAAAGCGTGGTTTTATACCAACTCTGAATTCAAAAACTTTCATTATGCTGTAATGCTTTAGCATTTATGATAATGATATATTTAATTCTGATTATAGACAAAAACATTTTATAAACACGAATAGTGTTAAATAATTTCATTATATTCTAAAGTAATTGTTTATTCGTTTTGACATTTATAATTAAATGTGTAGATATATACATATGTATATTAAGAGAGTGATTATTTCCCCTATTTCACTTGTCTTAAATAATTTCCCAGAAATTATTATGTAAGAAATTTTTTTACAAGAATTACAAAACAGATTGTGTTACGTTCATTGTTTTTTGTTGTAGTGTGTGTATATTTTGTTTGTTTTTTTTTGTTTAGATTGATACAATTTTTGTTTTGTCGGCCTACATTGTGTGTTTTTTTTATTTCTTCAGAGTGCTACTTTCAATTTATTTTACATCATAGCGAACTAATGACATACATCTAGTAATTATATATATATATATATATATATATATATATATATATATATATATATATATATATATATATATATATATATATATATATAATACATATATATATATATATATATAATACAAATATATATATATATATATATATATATATATATATATATATATATATATATATATATATATATATATATATATAATACACGTGTTTAGAACGTGTTTAAATTCGGCGCCTTTTTTTTTGCTCTTTTCGCTCCCCCTACAACGAAAACCTGGATACGCCTCTGATCTGTTGCTTAAAAGCGAGCACAGAAGTGTAAATGTATTATATACATGATGTTTACATGATAATGGCATTTTGTTTTGATAACCTACAAGCATACTGCAGAAAGGAATGTACAGCGTTGACCCCTCTCCCCCCCACACTAAGTTGGAACAGCCTATAACCGACTCATTTATGGAGGTCATAGATACTATTTCTTATAATAGATAAACTAAAATAAGGCCTGCCGAACAAGAGATGCATACGTTGTATTACTTAAGAGTGTTGGATAAGCTAACTCTAAAAAATATTGTTGAAGGGGACCCACTGGCAGATGTCATATTCAATGAGCCCGTTTTGCCAGGAGATTTAGTCTCTACAGAAACCGGATTTTCAGTGGTCCTTTAGTCGGGAGCCAGATTGACATGAGCCTATTTGTCGTGAGCCAAAATGACTGGAGCCTATTTTTCGGTTGTCGTAATGACGGGGGCCGCTTTGTGGAGAAACTAAATGGCGGGAGCCTGTATGTCGGGAGCCTAAATGACGGGAGCCTATTTGTCGGTAGCCTAAATGACGGGAGTCTATTTGTCGGGAGCCTATATGACGGGGTCCATATATCGCTGGCCCTTTTGACATGGCTCTTATGTCGGGGCCGATTTGTCGGGGTCGTTTTGACGGGGCTGTTTTTTCATTGGCCGTTTTGACGCCGCACGCCACTCGCGTCATCACGTTCAATAGCGCGTCATTACGTTCAATAGGTGCACAATGGTTTTTAGTCATGTAACTCTATTGTAAATAAAAACATGTAAAGTACTAAAAAAAATAATTAAAAAAAACGTTTTAATAACAAGGTTTTATGTAATAATGCACTAAAAAGGAGATAATAAATTATTTAAATAACTATAAAGAAAAGCGTGGGTCTCTTCCTAAATATTAGTAAAGGTATCCAATAGATACTAAAGTGAACCACGCTTTTCTTTATTTAAAAGTTTAGGCGATATCTCTCATACTTTATTTCTAATTGTACTTATTTAACTTCCTAATAAAGTGTCTTATTGTTTCTAAGTTTAAAATTAAACCGTCACATTTATTTTTACTTTCAGACGGAGAGTCCTATGATAGCGATATTAGCAGTTATTACACCGCACCTGAACATGAGGGGAGCGAAGTTCTACCCGCATTTGGATATAAGTGTAAAGAAATTCTAGGTAAGTCAAAAAGTACTTGTTTAATTAAAATGTAGGGGTCGGCGTGGTCTAGTCGGCAAAGCTCATGTTTGCTAAACCGAAAAGTCTCGAGTTCGAACCCTCAGGCAGATGAGTCTCGTTAGCAACTCCAAAATCAAACAAATGCTGCCGTGTTCTTGGTTGGACAAAGCAAATCTAAAAAGAAAAGCAGGCTGAAATCGGAGTCAATGGCCTCAATTTCGCATAAACAGCTGACACATATCCTTAGTTGTGATGCAGGCGTGGTCGAGTCGGCAAAAGCTCATGGTTGATAAATTCGAAAAAGTCTCGGGTTCAAACTCTCTGGCAAATAAGCCTCGATTCCTTCCAACACTAAAATCTAAAAATTAAGAACGAAGAAGAAGAATTAAAATGTACAGTAATTCATAAATTGTGAACCACAGCTCACCAGAATGACTGGTGGGGGGTGGGGATGGTTGCTATATATAGGCCTATATATATATATATATATATATATATATACAGATATATATATATATATATATACAGATGTGTGTCTTCCACATTATTACGTACACTGAAGGCGTTTGGTACACTAATTTTAATTAAATACACACCATCCCGCCTCACACCCATAAATGTGTGGTGAACTGTAAACACATGCTCACATTTTATTTTAAAAAATAAATTGATATAAGCCAAAATTTAAACTGTCATGCTCGGGCAGATGAGGCTTGTTAGCTGGAGACAGCCACTCTTCTAGTAGAGACAACTCCAAAATCAAATAACTGCTGCCTTGTAGTTTATTCTTGCTTGGACAAAGGCTATGGAAGCAAATCCAAAAAGAAAAGCAGGCTGAAATCGGAGTCAAGGGCCTCAACGGCGCATAACCAGTTGACACGTATCCTTAATTGTGATGGAGGCGTGGTCGAGTCAGCAAAAAGCTCATGGTTGATAAATTCGAAAAAGTCTTGAGTTCAAACCCACTGACAGATAAGGCTCGATCCCTTCCAACACTAAAAATTAAGAACGAAGAAGAAAGAAGAAGAAGAAACTGTCATGTACACAAACTACTGCCTTAATAGTTTATACACACAAAATACTGCTTTATATATTCATACACACAAACTACTGCCTGTATACAATCACACACAAAATACTGCTTTATATATTCATACACACAAAATATTGCCTTTATACAATCATTCACTAGATCAATGGTTCCTAACCTTTTTGGAGCTACCAAACCACACCAGTGTCATATGCGAATTCTTCGAACCTTTCTTAACGGTTCTTTCGTCCGCACTGAGAAAATCTGGTCGGGAGTGTTTCTTGATCTCTGCCGAACCCCTGAAACAGACTCACCGAACCCCTAGGGTTCGATCGAACCCAGGTTAAAAACCACTGCACTAGATGTATGCTTGCATGCTCTTAAACACAACACGACTGCCTCGATACGCCAGAATACTCTCTTTTTTTAGTTAACTGACAACATTAGTAACTACAATGGTAGCGCAAAGGCATCTAATATTGTACAGTCAAACACCACATCTAATATTGTACAGTCAAACACCACATCTAATATTGAACAGTCAAACACCACATCTAATATTGTACAGTCAAACACCACATCTAATATGGTACAGTCAAACACCACATCTAATATTGTACAGTCAAACACCACATCTAATAGTGTACAGTCAAACACCACATCTAATATTGTACAGTCAAACACCACATCTAATATTGTACAGATGTGTTTGACTGGTTGTTCTCTCCCCTCAACACTTACAAACGTAAAAACATCTCTGAGTGATATCACTTGTACCAATTGTCAAATCACTAGAGTTGCGGTGTTCACCATAAATTGATTGGATCAATTGTCAAATCACTACAGTTGCGGTGTTCACCATAAATTGATTGGATCAATTGTCAAATCACGAGAGTTGCGGTGTTCACCATAAATTTATTGGATCAATTGCCAAATGGCTACAGTTGCGGTGTTCACCATAAATTGATTGGATCAATTGTCAAATCACTAGAGTTGCGGTGTTCACCATAAATTGATTGGATCAATTGCCAAATCACTAGAGTTGCGATGTTCACCATAAATTTATTGGATCAATTGCCAAAAGGCTACAGTTGCGGTGTTCACCATAAATTGATTGGATCAATTGTCAAATCACTAGAGTTGCGGTGTTCACCATAAATTTATTGGATCAATTGCCAAATGGCTACAGTTGCGGTGTTCACCATAAATTGATTGGATCAATTGCCAAATCACTAGAGTTACGATGTTCACCATAAATTGATTGGATCAATTGCCAAATGGCTACAGTTGCGGTGTTCACCATAAATTGATTGGATCAATTGTCAAATCACTAGAGTTGCGGTGTTCACCATAAATTGATTGGATCAATTGCCAAATCACTAGAGTTGCGGTGTTCACCATAAATTGATTGGATCCATTGCCAAATCACTAGAGTTGCGGTGTTCACCATAAATTGATTGGATCAATTGCCAAATGGCTACAGTTGCGGTGTTCACCATAAATTGATTGGATCAATTGCCAAATGGCTACAGTTGCGGTGTTCACCATAAATTGATTAATACACTTAAATTGTGTGCATCCTACACTACGTATGCATTCAGATATGACTGCTTATAATTATGCTCACAACACATTGGTGTGTACATTCAATCTCAATGTGATGCATCTAGTGCCCTCAGCCCTCCGAACCCTCCTACCCTGTTTACGCATACCTGTGCACCTAACGCTGCTTCCAAGCTACACGCTGATGAGCGATAACGCCTTTATTTCTTGAATTTACCTTTACTGTGTTCTCTTAAACGTGAGCAGCATCCAGTTCTAAGGTCCAGCGGCGAGCTGCAGACAAGGTGAAGTTAGTTTTGTTTTTTACATCTAATTCTTAATGGACTGTATTCTTAATTACAAGACTTGTGATAGGGCCTACTTTATTAAAGTTTTGCTTTGTTGGGCTTAATTAAAAAAAAGAATATGTCTGTTTTATCATTTGATTACGGTAAAATGTTTTGTCTCTTTTTTAATAGTTTGTTTTATTGTTTAATGAAGCAATGAATTGGCTATACCTACTGAGTTTACTATGAGTTAACGTAAACTTTAAGACCTAACGAAGTACAAAAATATCAAAAAGTGTAATAATGCAATGAACACGAAAAGTTAGGTAGACTAATACACAGCAAGATACCAAAAGTTTTAATTGTATCGAAGACTAAACGGTAGAAAATTTAGATGAATAAGTAAGCTTGACCTCATAAACTGTAACTTTTAGTAATATTACAAATACGTAGATTTAGTATGAAGAAAAACAACTAGTTAAAGTAAATGTAAAACTTGCTAGTGTATATTTGCGTTTTCGCAAGATGATAAGTGACCTGTAGGCTTACTAGTACTACACAATATTTGTTTTGTTTTTTCTCAGGTTTTATTGCCTAGCCAAATCTTTCTCAGAACTACTTAGTCTGACTTGATATACTATTTTAGCCTACACATTATCTGTTGTCTAGGCCATCAGCTTTGCATTAAATAGAATAAGAATCATTTTAACAACGTGTGCTAAGTTTATTCATCAGCTCTCATTGTATAAGTAGTTGTACTTCGAATTCTAGAAAAATATGTCTAGTTCTGTATACCTATCTTGTTAGACGCAAGGTGATGATATAAACACCAGTGTTATCATCCTACCCCGGCCAATCTAAATTTAGCTCATCTGTAGCTACCTGTGCTGGGGTAAAACTCAACCATTTGGAATGCAATACTCCGCCAATTTTTAGCGCACCTTCTAGAATCTACTCCATCTTAACATCAGGCTTCAAGACTAGGTTATTTTGGTTTAGTTGCTCACATCTTATCGCGGTAAAGGGAAGCTACTTAGTTGCAAACTTTATTTGATAAATTTAGCAGAAATAAACGGCTGAAAACAATTGCAAATTGTTTCGATTTTATTTTTATGATGTACATTTAAAGGACATCACACTCTTAGAAGGAAAAGGGATGGTGGGGGCTTTACACTAGTGTGATGATGTGTGACAAAGAGAAGTGGAAAGAGGTGCGTCGAAAGGTGTGCATCTTAAATAAAGCGGGAGTAATCTCCTCTAAGCTTTCTCGAATATTCTTATATAGCACTACGGGAGATGGCAACTCAGAATATAGACATGATTTTAATCCATTTTTAATTACTTAAACTTTTAAAAGTAGAATAGAATCTCGTAGTAAAAGAGAATCCCTCACCATTTGAACGGCAAACAATATCTGAATAATAGTACGGAATAATAGTACGTTATAAATTCCTATTCGTTTTTTGCGAAATCGGAAATCGCGTAAATTACTACTTCCGGTCGACGAAAATCACTCAAAATTTAATATAAGGCAGAGAATTAGATCCTTTACTTACATGTGAAATTTCATTTACTTATCAGAAACAATACTCAAGTTATAGGCTTTTGAAAAATTGAAAGTAGAATAACTTCCATTTCACAGACACACATACACACACACGCACACATACACACACAGACATACGAACAAAATTGCAAAACTATGTTGTTGTTTTTTTTGACCGATTACAATACTTCATCTATACTTCGTATACGATAAGGTAAAAAGTAATGTTTCAAACGAAATAATACGCATTTTAAAAAAATGATCAATAATAAACCGGGAGTGATCTCCCCTAAACTTTCTCGACTATTTTTATATAACTCGGAATATAGACATGATTTTTAATTACTTAAACTTTTAAAAATAGAATAGAATCTCGTAGAAAAAAGAATTGCGCACCAAGCAAAAACAAAATGTGCATAATCGTGCGCAATATTATATTATTAGTACTCTATAAATTTACATGTGTTTTTTTTTTTGAGAAATCGGAAATAGCGTAAATTAGTACTTCCGGTCAACGGAAATTACTCAAAATTTGAAGGTAGAGGATTAGACCTTTTACTTACATGTGTAATTTCATTTATCTATCTGAAATAGTACTCAAGTTATAGGCTTTTGAAAAATTCAAAGTAGAAAAAGTACCACTTCCGGTTATGGGAAATCGCTCAAAAGTTGATAAGGATCTACGATTTTGATAAAATACTTATATATGAAATTTCATCAACCTAGCTGTAACGGTACTCAAGTTATCGTGTTTACACACGGACAGACACACAGACATACGGACAGAATTGCAAAGACCAGTTTTTTCAGATTGGATTACGCATAAAACTCCACAAGTTTGATAAATCTGGATTGATTTACTTGTTCCAAAAAACATGGAACAGCTGTCTTGCAAATTGCGAAAATTGCAAGCAGTTTTCACTATTTGGGTCACAATGTTTTCATCAATATCTGCAACACGGAGGGCAATTGTATTTGCATCCAAAGCAACATTTTTAAATTGTTTCAGCAGAGTTTCTTCCAGGCATTTCTTCGGGGTTGGGGGGGGGGGGGCAGAATTTATATAGAAAATATACACATTTAGCAGAAGAAAGTCTACCGCCCCCCCGAAAATTTCAAGTGCCCCCCCCCCCCCCCCCCGGAGAAAAAAGTCTGGAAGAAACACTGTTCCTCAGCCACTTCAAACATCACACATAGCGTCAGTTCTGTTCTCAATCATTTCTCTTGCACATTGTGCATAACACCTGCATTATTCTTCTTTTGATTCATCAACTTGTGTTCAGGTTGTGAGGTTGAAGAGAACTTCTTGCCTCTACAACCAGGTCTTGAAGTGATATTTTTTTTCATGTTGTAATCCCTAAATGAGAGCTCTCGCTATCATTTGCATTTATTCCAGCTTGGTTTTGCATTGTAGCCAGGCTTGGATTCTTGTAACGAGTGCGTATAAATGCCTTTTTTTTTTACTTCAAATCTATACCTTGGCGTCACATTATCAACATATTATGAAGCATGGAGATCAGGTTCCGTGGAAGAGTAGTCTATCTATCTATCTATCTATCTATCTATCTATCTGTCTGTCTGTCTGTCTGTCTGTCTGTCTGTCTGTCTGTCTGTCTGTCTGTCTGTCTGTCTGTCTGTCTGTCTGTCTGTCTGTCTGTCTGTCTGTCTGTCTGTCTGTCTGTCTGTCTGTCTGTCTGTCTGTCTGTCTGTCTGTCTGTCTGTCTGTCTGTCTGTCTGTCTGTCTGTCTGTCTGTCTGTCTGTCTGTCTGTCTGTCTGTCTGTCTGACTGTCTGTCTGTCTGTCTGTCTGTCCGTCCGTCCGTCCGTCCGTCCGTGTGTGTGTGTGTGTGTGTGTGTGTGTGTGTGTGTGTGTGTTACGGTCAAATGTTACGGCCGCCGGTAAATGATTGTGAAGATGCGATGGTTCCTCAACGGGCGACAATGAGAGCAGTTTTTCGTGAAGAAATGAAAACTCACTTATACTTATAGCATATAGTTGTTTTAGTACACCTATTCCGTTCCTAGCTTGTAGAAAGCGCCCTCGACGCTCAGTACAACTGCAATGACGCTTCAGGGATCACCACGTCCTCTATCAACGTCTGGTATTTCCTTTATATTTTGTATCTGATTTTGTTAGCATCTTAGCACCTTTAGTTTGCAAGCTAGTATGAGCTGCTGACCTGTTGTCTATGGTTTCTTGTTTATTGTGACATATTTTGCAAGTACTGTTCCCTCCATACCCTTCGTCTGCTTCATTGGCTATTCCGCATATTATATGGACATCGTTGCCACAGGATCCACAAGAATGGGCTTCACTACAATATTTTTCACAAACTACACAGAATCTGTTGGCCTTCCTTATTATTGCCATGCAACTGGTCTGGACGTTCCGCCACGGCAGCATAGGGGTCATCCATAAAAGACGTCACACTCGTAGGGGGAGGGGGGTCCGTAATTTTGTGACATGTGATGAGGGGGAGGGGGGGGGGGTCAGATGTTGCGACGTCACATTTTTGCATTATAAAAAAGCAATATTAGAAAACGAATTTTAGACGTTATTTCGCGTTTTAGATAACTGTTTTAATAAGTTGTAATAGTTTAGACAAGATTTTGGAAAAAATATCGATGTTTTAAAAAAATTCAACTGCAATTTTGAGGGGGGGTTGTAGGTTGAGGTGTGACGTCATTTTAGGGGGGGGGGGTCTGGCTTTTTGTGACGACGTGTGACGGAGGGGAGGGGGGGGAGGTAAAAATCGTCAAAAAAGCGTGACGTCATTTATGGATGACCCCGTATGTGTTTGCTGAGAATGTCGTTGCATTTATGGCAACATCCATTTCTTTTTCAATGTTCTCAAGATCTTCCTCAGTAGCTAAATTATCGAGAGCCTCTCTTCGTAGATTTTAAGTGCTAAGTCCCACTTTTCCTTTGCATCTAAACAAGGTTTCGTATGGCGATTGTTGGATTCCTTTATGAAAATTACGGTTTTTCATAAATTGAATGAATTTAAGACTCTTAGCCCAATAAGCTGATTCATTTGTGTGCATCCTTGTCATCATCATGTTTTGAACATCTTAGTTGGCACGTTCTTCTGAACCTTGGCTTTGGCTATGCCTTGGTTTTCTGTGAACTAGTTTAAGTTCATACCACATGTTCTTTAGTTCAGAAATAACTTTATTCACAAATTCTATTCCATTAGGATTTGGATTATTTATTTTGGCAGCCATCTGGTATGTCTGTCTCTTGATCTGACGGTCCTTTTAGACCATGTCGCATTGCATATAGAATGCTATACAAACAAAAGCCAAACAATACGTTACTCACAATGAAACTGCAACCAAAATAATGAAACCGCGATCACAACTTAGTCTAGATAGGACATTGGCCAGGACACCCTAGCCAGTGCACGCATTGGCCGGCCAATGTACAAAATACGCTGTCGAGTTTAAGCACTTCGGACTTTGGCCAGTACGTCCCGGCCAGTGCGCGCACTTCGGGCTTTGACCGTAACATATATATATATATATATATATATATATATATATATATATATATATATATATATATATATATATATATATATATATATATATATATATATATATATATATATATATATATATATATATATATATATATATATACATACATACATACATTGGGCACCAAATAGAATGTTTGCCCCTGGCCCCAGAATGAGTTGTAACACATCTGGTTCAGATCTAAACCTTATTGTCTATATGGGAACCATATTGACATGGGTCCTTTGTCAGGAGTTGTAAATAATGGAGCCTTTTTGTAAGCATGTAGACAAATATGTATAAATAGATAAATAGAAAGAAAGACACATAGATATATAAGATGGAATATGATACTGTAAAATATGATACAATATTGATTACATTACCTTAGAGAAAGAGTTAGATAGACAGGCAGACAGACCAACAGACAGAGAGATAGAAAGATACATAGATAGATATATATAGATATTTATTTATCTAGATGGATATTCATGTTTGGTTATATGCAAATTTAATAAACAGTTTAAAGAAGAAAAAAGAACACATAAGACACAAAACAGAATTGAACCAGTTTTCTCATCCTTGTAAAATCAAAATGTAAACAACACAAAGGAAATAATTACTCTGTTCAATACAGTTATAAAAATATATGTTCTCCCCAGTTGACTTTGTACCTCGGGAAGGTGTGTTTTGAATGCTATGTACAATCTTTTTTTTTATAGAGGGGAGTGAAGCTCAACTTGACTGTGTTGTAGGAAGAGTCTCTCCATCTTCAGTTGCTTGGTACAAGGACAACAACTGTGTTATAGAAAAAGAAGGAGTGAAGATATCATTTAAAGAAGAAACCAGCATCTTATTACTTTCAGAAGCACATGCAGTGGATTCAGGACAGTATACTGTAACAGTTTTTGATTCAAATAAAACAACTTCGAAATCAACAAAAGTTGAACTTGTTGTAAAAGGTATGCTATCAAGAAAAATATGAACTGTATGGAGGACCAATGCAGTATGTCTAAAAAATAAAATCTTGAGAAAAACAAGTTTATAAATCTTATTTTCATATTAAAATAGTGCAAATTATTATGTTACGGTATGTTTTTAAAAATTAGCATTATAGTCTTGTGATGTTTAATATAAGTGCTCTAGTGGCTTCTAATATTGCCAAATAAGTATAAATGTTCATTGATTTCACATCAAAGTGGACAAGCTGCATTTCTCTTCTATTCAGTTGATATGTTAATTCATACCTTGTTACTGTTTTTTCTATATAAGATTCTTCATGGGGCATGCCCCTTCCTAATAAATAGTGAATCATAACTAATTGCATGGTTCAAGTTGCATTTAAGTAGTCATCTCTTCACCTCAATTAATAGTAGTTAAGCCCACCACTTGAGATTTACACAGTATTAGGTTTTAAGCCTCAATACTCTCAAGACCAATCCGGATCTCCATCACCTGTGTCTTTCACTCACTTCTACTATTAACAATAGTGGTCTGTTTTTTAATTCACTGCATAAAGGCCTCTAAATCAGTGGTTCTTAACATTTTTGGAGTTACCGAACCTAACCAGTGTTATCATCATAGTTGTTCTCTTAGTTTTGCAGGTGCTAGATTATAGTAGCTCAAGTTCTTGATTATACATGTGAATCAATATAGTACATATTTATCTGACCACTTTTTTCACTCAGCATTGTATGATTTGATTAAAATAATAAAGAAAGTAATCACATAGCATACCACCATAACAGTTACAAGTCGACTACTGGACCACTATTTATCTATCTATCTATCTATATTTATCTATATATATATAAAGCAATGTATGTGTGTCTGTCTGTCTGTCTGTGTGTCTGTCTTTTATGCATTACTACACCTTTCATCGCATTGCCATGAAACTTTAGGAAGTTGTTGAGAATACTCCTGGGGAGGTTTCTGTGAGGAAAAAATATTTCAATTTTACAGGGGTGGAGCCCCGGTAGGGCGCGATTTGTTTTTTCTCTATATACAGTATATAAAAAATAAAAGTTGAATGCAGTCTGACACTGTTCATCCGAGTGCTATGAAACTTTGGGGAATTGATTAGAACACTCCAGGGGAGGTTTCTATAAAACAATATTTTTTTAAATTTTGCGAGGTAGCGCTCTAAATACAGTATGTTAAAAAAAATTAAAGTCAGATGCAGTTTGACACCTTTGATCCGAGTGCTATAAAACTTTAAGGAATTAATGAGAATACTATCATGAAGGTTTCTGTTAACAAAATAATAAAAATTTGATATGAGTGGGACTCGGGAGGGTGCGATTTTCGTCAATAAACAATTTGGCGCCCAGAGTTCCAGGACGGCTATGTTAGCACTTGGCATCCGTTTATCATGTGTCCTGCATAGCGGGTAAAGGGTACTACTATATTCAGCGTTAAAACTTCAAAAGTATTTATGATCCAAGCACAGGCATTGTTTACATTTAAATATCTCACTTTTAGCAAACAAGGTCACGCATCTAAGAACATAGGATTGGTAACGCATTCATGAAACCCTTCTTATATATTTCATCAGACTTTCTTCTATCCCTGCGGCAACAGGTACAGTGTTTCTTCCAGACTTTTTTCTCCGGGGGGGGGGGGGGGGGGGGGGGGGGGGCACTTGAAATTTTCGGTGGGGCGGTAGACTTTCTTCGGGGGGCGGACACTGTTAAATATATTTTCTATATAAATTATATAAATTTCATTTTGTTCGGGGGGCGGTAAAAAATTTTAGGGGGGTTTCTGGAAGAAACTCTGAACGGGTACACTAGTATAGAAATAAAAAGAATGTTATTCACATCATGCTATACATGATCAACTCTTCATTAATATGTGGTGGTGTTGTGCAGTCATATTTGAACTGTCAACGTCCATGGCCGCTAGTTCTATCAACCACACTAAACAAATCCTATCACAATTCATATGAGTTGAGTTTCTTCTTCTTTGTTCTTAATTGTAACATTGAAGAGTATTTCCTTCAACACTATAAAGTACCACGTGTTGACCTATGATGCATCACATGGCCCATAGAATCTGATTTTTATCTGCTTTTCCTTTTCAATTTGCTTCTGTAGCCTTTGTGCATCCAAGAGCAAACTATAAGGCAGAAGTTGTTTTGTTTTGGATTTTTCTCTCTTAGATGGGTTGTAGTCTTCAGCTATCGAGCATCATCTGCCCGGAGGTTTGAACTCTGGACTTTTTGTTTAGCAACTGTGAGCTTTACCGACCCAAACCTCACCAATCCCTAAGTCGGGTGTGTTGTTTTTACCTCCGCCAACCCCTGAGACTGACTCATCGAACTCCTAAGGTTCAATCTAACCCTGGTTAAAAACCACTGATATAATATCAGTCAATTTCAATGTATGCACTAAATGCTTTGTATTGAGAATGTAGGAAGCAACTCAAAAAAAAAAAAGCTTATGATTGTCAGTTAAAGATAACTAGCTTCAAAACTCAAATAAAACATTTAAAAATGCTAAATAAATAGTGGAATATAGTACTCCAATGTAAAAATTAATAAATACTGTAACTATTTTAATTGAAGAAATGAAATAGTTTATTTTACCTAAAAGAAATAAGAATCATTTTGATAAAATTATTTTAAAACCTTTTCTAACATTACAGATCCTAATAAAACTGAACTGACATACCAAGAAACCGATTCCGACACAGCAACTGAGGACATCAATCTGCCTGAAGCATTAACTGTCCAAGCAGATTCTGAATCAAAGTTTGACAAAAAGGCAAAAAAAAGTCTTGCTGAATTAGAAGCCAAGAAAGAAGCTGAAAGCATCCAAGCTGAATTAGAAGCCAAGAAAGAAGCTGAAAGGATCCAAGCTGAATTAGAAGCCAAAAAAGAAGCTGAAAGTATTCAAGCTGAATCAGAAGCCAAAAAAGAAGCTGAAAGGATCCAAGCTGAATTAGAAGCCAAGAAAGAAGCTGAAAGTATCCAAGCTGAATTAGAAGCCAAAAAAGAAGCTGAAAGGATCCAAGCTGAATTAGAAGCCAAAAAAGAAGCTGAAAGGATCCAAGCTGAATTAGAAGCCAAAAAAGAAGCTGAAAGGATCCAAGCTGAATTAGAAGCCAAAAAAGAAGCTGAAAGGATCCAAGCTGAATTAGAAGCCAAGAAAGAAGCTGAAAGGATCCAAGCTGAATTAGAAGCCAAAAAAGAAGCTGAAAGGATCCAAGCTGAATTAGAAGCCAAAAAAGAAGCTGAAAGGATCCAAGCTGAATTAGAAGCCAAAAAAGAAGCTGAAAGGATCCAAGCTGAATTAGAAGCCAAAAAAGAAGCTGAAAGGATCCAAGCTGAATTAGAAGCCAAAAAAGAAGCTGAAAGGATCCAAGCTGAATTAGAAGCTAAAAAAGAAGCTGAAAGGATCCAAGCTGAATTAGAAGCCAAAAAAGAAGCAGAAAGGATCCAAGCTGAATTAGAATCTAAAAAAGAAGCTGAAAGGATCCAAGCTGAATTAGAAGCGAAAAAAGAAGCTGAAAGGATCCAAGCTGAATTAGAAGCGAAAAAAGAAGCTGAAAGGATCCAAGCTGAATTAGAAGCTAAAAAAGAAGCTGAAAGGATCCAAGCTGAATTAGAAGCCAAAAAAGAAGCTGAAAGGATCCAAGCTGAATTAGAAGCTAAAAAAGAAGCTGAAAGGATCCAAGCTGAATTAGAAGCCAAAAAAGAAGCAGAAAGGATCCAAGCTGAATTAGAATCTAAAAAAGAAGCTGAAAGGATCCAAGCTGAATTAGAAGCGAAAAAAGAAGCTGAAAGGATCCAAGCTGAATTAGAAGCGAAAAAAGAAGCTGAAAGGATCCAAGCTGAATTAGAAGCTAAAAAAGAAGCTGAAAGGATCCAAGCTGAATTAGAAGCTAAAAAAGAAGCTGAAAGGATCCAAGCTGAATTAGAAGCCAAAAAAGAAGCTGAAAGGATCCAAGCTGAATTAGAAGCCAAAAAAGAAGCTGAAAGGATCCAAGCTGAATTAGAAGCCAAAAAAGAATCTGAAAGGATCCAAGCTGAATTAGAAGCCAAAAAAGAAGCTGAAAGGATCCAAGCTGAATTAGAAGCGAAAAAAGAAGCTGAAAGGATCCAAGTTGAATTAGAAGCGAAAAAAGAAGCTGAAAGGATCCAAGCTGAATTAGAAGCCAAAAAAGAAGCTGAAAGGATCCAAGCTGAATTAGAAGCCAAGAAAGAAGCTGAAAGAATCCAAGCTGAATTAGAAGCCAAAAAAGAAGCTGAAAGGATCCAAGCTGAATTAGAAGCCAAAAAAGAAGCTGAAAGGATCCAAGCTGAATTAGAAGCCAAAAAAGAAGCTGAAAGGATCCAAGCTGAATTAGAATCTAAAAAAGAAGCTGAAAGGATCCAAGCTGAATTAGAAGCCAAAAAAGAAGCTGAAAGGATCCAAGCTGAATTAGAATCTAAAAAAGAAGCTGAAAGGATCCAAGCTGAATTAGAAGCGAAAAAAGAAGCTGAAAGGATCCAAGCTGAATTAGAAGCCAAAAAAGAAGCTGAAAGGATCCAAGCTGAATTAGAAGCCAAAAAAGAAGCTGAAAGGATCCAAGCTGAATTAGAAGCCAAGAAAGAAGCTGAAAGGATCCAAGCTGAATTAGAAGCCAAAAAAGAAGCTGAAAGGAACCAAGCTGAATTAGAAGCTAAAAAAGAAGCTGAAAGGATCCAAGCTGAATTAGAAGCCAAAAAAGAAGCTGAAAGTATCCAAGCTGAATTAGAAGCCAAAAAAGAAGCTGAAAGGATCCAAGCTGAATTAGAAGCGAAAAAAGAAGCTGAAAGGATCCAAGCTGAATTAGAAGCCAAAAAAGAAGCTGAAAGGATCCAAGCTGAATTAGAAGCCAAAAAAGAAGCTGAAAGGATCCAAGCTGAATTAGAAGCTAAAAAAGAAGCTGAAAGGATTCAAACTGAAGTAGAAGCCAAAAAAGAAGCTGAAAGTATCCAAGCTGAATTAGAAGCCAAAAAAGAAGCTGAAAAGATCCAAGCTGAATTAGAAGCCAAAAAAGAAGCTGAAAGTATCCAAGCTGAATTAGAAGCCAAGAAAGAAGCTGAAAGGATCCAAGCTGAATTAGAAGCCAAGAAAGAAGCTGAAAGGATTCAAGCTGAATTAGAAGTGAAAAAAGAAGCTGAAAGGATCCAAGCTGAATTAGAAGCCAAGAAAGAAGCTGAAAGGATCCAAGCTGAATTAGAAGCCAAAAAAGAAGCTGAAAGGATCCAAGCTGAATTAGAAGCCAAAAAAGAAGCTGAAAGGATCCAAGCTGAATTAGAAGCCAAAAAAGAAGCTGAAAGGATCCAAGCTGAATTAGAAGCCAAAAGAGAAGCTGAAAGGTTCCAAGCTGAATCAGAAGCCAAAAAAGAAGCTGAAAAAATCCAAGCTGAATTAGAAGCCAAGAAAGAAACTGAAAGGATCCAAGCTGAATTAGAAACTGACAGCATCCAAGCTGAACTAGTTGCTCAGAAAGAAGCTGATAGTCTAAAGTTATATGTCAATTCCTCTCTTGGAAATTGTTATAGTTCTTCTAACTTACAATCTAAACCACTTGAATACAGTTTTGAATCAACAGTTGAAGAGACATCAGTGGTTAGATCTTTACAGCTTGCTGGAGACTCATGTATATTCAATGATTCAGTTCATGAACATTCTGATCTTTTTGTTGATACAGTAACAAAGCATCAAAAAGATATTGTTAAAGCACACAAATCTTCTATCTTTGACAAAGACGTTAAGAAATCTCCACACATCTCTTGCACCATGGATGATTGTGTGACAGAGTTAGGCCAGATGGCACGTTTCGATTGTCGTGTTTCTGCATATCCAGATCCAGAAATTACTTGGTAATTCAACATTTTCATTAATTTGAAATTTAAAAAGCAAAGAGTCCTCTTTAGACCTAGCAATCCATTTGGCAGATGAAGTAGAGTTCATTTGTTTCTTTTCTTAACCCATGAAGGGATAATGTGTCAACACTATGCCCAGCCACCTTTACTTTCCCTAACGTTAGGGACCTTCCACTGACTTGAATTCACTGACTTTAATCAAGATTCCATAGTCCATGTCATTCCCTTTAGAAATAAATACTATAAACTTTTTATATCTAGTTATTTTGTGTGTGTTTGAGTTAATTTTACTACTTTTTTGTTGTACAAATTTACCTTTATAATTTAGAATTGAACTAGTAATTTCAATGTAACTGATCTATAAGCTTTGTGGTATTGAGTTGGTTCATGGAGAATAAGGGTCACTTCTTCATCTTCTTCAATTTTTTTTACTTAACTGACTGGATGTAAACACTGTCTGTTAGGTTTAAAGATGGGAATAAAGTCACACCCTCTGCAAAGCATGAATTGGTGAGTTTCCACGATGATATATTTTCCTTGCTTATAAAACAAGTACAAGAGGAAGACAGTGGGCGCTATACCTGTTTGGCAAGAAATGAATATGGAGAAGCAAAGTCTGAAGCACTTCTTAATGTCCTTGGTCAGTTTTGAACCAATGTTATTTTTGTTTTTGCTATTTCTTAATTCTAATATTTTTTTATACTGCTCCTTCTGATAATCTAGAGCAATCGTAATAGAATACAATTTTTAAAACTGATCTGTTGTTTTTTATCTATTTATTTTAGAAAAGATTGAGAAAATCACAGAGGGTCATGTGGCACCATCTTTTATTACCAAATTTTATGACATTGAAGCTATTGAGGGTGTCCCTGTAGAGTTTGTGTGTGTTATAGATGGTAACCCTGAGCCCTCTGTTACATGGTTTTTGAATGGCCAAGAAGTTGAGAGTAGTTCTGACATTTTAACCAGGAGACAAGAAGACTCAGTAATGCTTGCTTTTCGGTGAGTTTCTTTAACTAAATTTATTATTGAGATAGATGTACTATCAAGCACACCAACAAAATGACACTCATAATTAAATTTATTTGAAAAGAATTTTGAAAACTTGCAAAATAATAGTGCTTTGTTGCTTGTATGCATTAGGTTAGCTTAATAATGGTTGTTTCTATTCTTTAAATTATTTCTTTTTATTTTAGATCTGTCCAAACTTGTAACTCTGGGGAAATCATTTGCAAACTGAAAAATGATTCTGGAGAGGTCATGTGCAAAGCTAGGCTTAAGGTAAAAGAGGATTTAAGCAAACGTGGTGATCGCCCATTGTTTCTAGAACAACCTTCAGATACTGAAGTGTGCGAAGGAGAATCTGTAACTTTTGAATGTGTCATCTCTGGTCTGCCAGAACCTGATGTTACATGGTTTTTTAATGGACGTGAACTGCATGAATCTAAACGCCGATCAATTCGGCATAAACCTGGACAGAAGTATACCCTGACAATCCATGAGGTCATTTCAGAAAATGGAGGTGTTTACACCTGTAAGGCTGTCAATCGTGTTGGTGATGCATCTTGTGCTGTGGAACTTTCAGTTAAAGAACTGCCATTTGAACCAGCCAAAGAACAATACACAGAGTAAATTTTTTATCTTTCTTTTCTGTTTTGAGTAACACAGCATTTACACTAATGACCTATTTATTATATATGTTATGGGTATATGGAACTTCTTCTGAGTTGTTGTTTTAGTTGAAAATATTAAAAGCAGTTTAGATTTTAAATAAAGAAATAATTAATTTTAAAAATATAATTTAACCAAATTTATTGTTGCAAGTTATTCTTCAATTTTCCTCAACCCATATTCTGTTTAAAGTAATTCAACTAATTTTGGGTTCCATCTTTATTGCCCCATTTACAGAGTTATCAAAATTGAAGTATTATAAAGCTGATAGAGGAGTAAATCTAAGGGCTTAGAAGGTGCTTGTGGGATCACACTTATACTGATTATAAAAACAGGCAGATAACTTGTGATAATTATTTCTGTTTAAAATGAGACATAATTAAAATAAAGAAATGTAAAAATACATGTCTCATCCTTGCATCTTCTTTAATTTTAGATAATTTATTGTTGAATTGTAGGCTACACTTAAAATAACAAAGCTGCATGCCTACTATCTACTTTTTGTTTTACTTTGATTACTGTTTTAAATATATAGGCCTATATAGCAGATGCTCCAGTCAAAGGTCATGTTTGTTTTCAAAAATTTTCTATACCATGTTCTGTAAGTGTCAATGCTAAACTCTACATTCCCATGGAGAAAATGTTTCCAGATAAAATTAACTTTGGGTGGGCTTTGCATTCTATACACATAAAGTATACACGTAAGTGTAAATGCTGTGTTAGGTATAACACATATTTGAAATGTTAACTCAGTATCAAACACATCATTGAAAACACATCAAAATCACTTTTTAAACAGCATTCTGTTTTATATATTCAAAATGAATCAAAATACAGTGTGGACTGCATTGTAACATATTAACCTTAGCCCTCTGTTTCTCATATAAGTTTATTTACGTAGCAAGTAGCAAGTTCAACAAAGCTTATTGAAACATTTCTACTTATTGAAATTTTAAAAAATAAATACTTGTTTCGTACAACCACACATTTACACACATTAATATCAACCACATCACATTCACATCCTATTTCAAACAACAGAACAGTACTGCAAAGGGAGCTATGCTCAACAATCCTAAGGTTGTTGATGTTATTCAGGTCACCATTTATAATTTAAAATGTTAAGCAGTGGTTTTCACACTACTTAATCATTTGTCTAAATGTTTAATCTTATAATTCTTTGTTACCAGCATGAGCTTCGATAGTGCAAAGTATGCTTTCCCACCATCTTTTACACGACGTATTCAGGACACATTAAGTTTACCAGGTCGTTCCGCGCGACTTGAAGCTATGATTATTGGCATTCCTGAACCTGAAGTTGAATGGTATTTATGTCAAATAAACTTATAATAAATATTTTAAAAAATCTCATGTACTAATTCTACAGATTAAAGTGAATGCTGCATATGATAACATCATTAATATACCCATCTTATCTATTGACATTGAACCATACACTAAAATTAGAAGTTTTTATATATTATTAAAAACATATAAATAATGAAGAATTTGGATTTTATATTATTTCAGGCTTAAAGATGGGCAGCTTGTGAAATCAAGCCCCAAGTACAAAATTGGTAGAGAAGGCCACACTACAATTCTAGTTGTTGAAAACTGTGAAAACATTGATTCTGGAACTTATACTTGTAATATTTACAATGATGCAGGCAAGGCATCTTGCTCTGCACACCTCAAAGTAAAAGGTAATCATTTGTTCTTAATTATTTGCTCTTAAGCTTAAGAGTTTTAAATGCAAAAAAATATCTGTTTCTTTCAGTCATTTTAAATTTTGTATTGTTATAGTTGTTTAGGCTGATATTCTGTATAAAATCCACCTTAGTCAATGTATTTTTTATATCAATAATTACATTTTTGTTTTATGTTTTAGAGGAAAGATCTCAACAGTCTGTTCCAAGAACTTTTAGACCCATCATTTCTGATAATTATAGAGATTCTTTATCATCTACACCAAGATCATCAGTTGCAAGAGAAATACAACTAGAGGGTAAAATTTATTATAATTTTAAAGAATTTTTTGAAGCAGTACTATTTAGCAATTTTATTATACTTTGCATAATTTGTAATAGTTTAATCATATGGTTGTTGAATTTAAAAAAAGTTTATGTGCCACAGAGCTGACTTGATTTTGGTTAAATCTTCTTTGCTCGTTCCACTGATTGAATAAAATATCCTTAAGTTGTTCAATAAAAAAAAGCTTCAAACTATTCATTTTCTTTGTTGTTGGAACTAAAAAGGAAAATACATTTTAACTTAAGAAGAATAGAGGAATTAATTACTTCTTAATTTTGATCTGCCAATATGACTGAATGCCTTAATTATTTCAAATAAGTTTTGAGCCTATTTTTACATAAACAGTTTCTACAGCACATACGTTTTTTTTTAACTATGTTACTTACTTTATAGAAAAAATACCTTCAATGCCATTTGATAAGCCAGTTTTATTGGACGTGAAGCCTAATTCAGTCAAGTTATCATGGATGCCAGCTCCTACAGCCATGTTGCCAGACAATGCTCAAAGAATTACCTACACTATAGAAGCTAGGGAGTTACCAAGTAAAAATTGGGTCAGGTATAAATCGTTTTTAATCATTTTTGTTCACAATATTAAAAAACTATGTGTTTTGGATGAAGTAGGATGAAACCATATTTATTATCTTGAGCTCAGAACATTCTATGGCCATTTCTGTTTAAAAAATTGATTGATAAATTTAATCAGTTCATTTTATTTAATTTTATATATAATATATTTAATGTTATTGTAATTATTTGTAACAGACTTGATGGTAGCATTGATTCAACAACCTATTATGCTTACAACCTAAAACCAGAAAAGGAATACATGTTTAGGGTAAAAGCTGATAACCGATTTGGAACCAGTGAACCCACTTTGCCTTGCACTTTAAGAGCAAGAGGTATTTTTAATTTTCCTATTTTGTAGTGTTTAACAATATTGAAACTTTACTAAGTTAAAAAATGTTCTATTGTTTATCTCATGTTTTTAAAATTAGATCTAAATTTACTACGGTAATTATGAAACTAATTTTGAGTTTCAGATTCTTTTTAAAATTCTCCTTAAAAGGTGAAAAGAAGATTCATTACTTCAACCTTTAAGACTAGATCTATATTATTATTATAATAAATCATTTTATATGCTATTAATTAAATGAATTACAGAACAACCAAAACCTAGAGAATCAGCATTTAATGAAGCTGATTCATATGGTAAGTAACTTTAAGTCAAGCTATTCAATACTGAATTAAAAACAGTTGCTTAACTGGACTGCCATTATAAAAATTAAATACAGACATACACATCATTATATATAAGAATGTAAAAAGACTTTTATCTTAGTGTATGTGTGTGTATCCCTACATATAGGAACATTAATTTTGAATGGTTATTCCTCTTTGTTTTTAGCCAGACCAATACTACCAAAAACTAGACCATACATCTCAGATATTGGCAAAGAAACAATACAACTGGGATGGAAACCTGCTGAGATTCCTTCTACCCACAGGGCAATGTCCCTACCTCCTATTTCCTACAGAATAGAGGCCCAAAAACTACCCAGTGAAGAGTGGGTTCCATTAGCTAGTCGTATCAAAAGACCTAGTTTTTATCTGTCAGACCTGGAGCCAGATCGTGACTACAATATTAGAGTGAGAGCTCAAACCCCTTATGGAGTCAGTCAACCAACTGAAGCTGTATGGATACCTCGTGCAAAAGGTCTGCCACAAACACATTTCTTTTCATTTGTCAGACATAAAAATTTAACTTATTTTGATTTTTTTACGTTGGTCTTTCTTTTCAGGTATAAGACAAAATTAAAGAAGTAATTAATATTCATTGTTTCAGTTTTCACTGGAGTGCCTGTGACTCGACCAACAATCACTGAAATAGAGGAAGGTACTGCACGTCTTCAGTGGAATAGAGTAGAGATTCCAGCTTTTGATAACAAAGATGAGCCACTACTGTACATGATTGAGATGCAAGAGCCACCTTCCTACAGGTAGACTTGATAAATGTTTTAAGAATAAAATTAAAATTATTAGCTATTCATTTAATACTATTTTTTTTCAATTTGCTGAAAATGTGCAGTTATCATATACACAAAGTAATGACTATGTTTATCTGTATACAAATTAAAGCTATGAAATTGCAAAATCTTTATGTAGATGGCGTGAGTTAGCTCGCCGTGTACCTTCTAACTACTATATTGTACGTGACCTTGAACCAGCGCAAGATTATCGCTTCCGTGTTCGTGCTGAATCACATGATGGACTACTAAGTGAACCCAGTCCTGCTACATCAGTTTTTAGAACTCTTGGTATATTTGTTATAAAATTTATTTAAATAATGGAAACAAATTTTATTAAAGATTTTTTAATATGGAATCTGTTGTGTAAATGAATAAAAATCTAACAACAATTTTGTCAAATAGCCCTCACACACAGCCCTATTGACAGACTAGAAATTGAGGAATATGATCCAGAAATACAGAGTGCTAGATTATCTTGGAGACGTGTGGAAGTCCCTCCTTATAGTGATGCAGAAAACCCTCTTCTTTATATGATTGAGTATGTTTTCCCATAATTTCCTAAAAATATATACAAATTCTAAAAATTCCATAGATCTTTATATGAAGTTGCTATTATCTTCAGAAGTAACGAATCTTCTTTTTAATATATATTTTTAGATACAAAAATCCTCAACTTGAAGGATGGCGCCCCCTAGTTAGTGGAATTCCTACTACACGCTATAGAGTCCCTGATATTTCTCCTACAGATGATTACAGATTTAGAGTTAGAGCACTAAGTCCTTATGGTATTAGCCCACCTTCATATCCAACTGGACTCTACAGACATCTAAGTATGTTGGCTATATTTGTTTATTGTAAATTTGTTATTTGAATAACTATGAATTATTTTTCATAAAATTAGCTGATTATAACACAGTCAAAATTTGTGTTTATTGTTTTAAATAATGTTTGCCTTAACTTATTTCTCTTTGATTAATAAATTACAATACTGAAGAATTATAAATACATAATATTGCACCCTATCTTTTGTATTAATTAAATCTAAACAAAATTAAGTTAAATAATTTTGGCATTTGATATGTTTGATATTCCTTCCAAAACACTGCTTTTGTTTTCCATTTTAGGTCCTTTGAGGCCTTTAGCACAAGATCTTTACATTAGTGATCTTGAACCTTCAAGCATTAGGTAAATTTTACCTAACAGTTAATTTGTATTTATTTTGACTTACTATTAAAAGCCACTAACTATTTTTATAGAAATACTGTTACATTGATATTTATTCTTTTTTTTAAATCAAGGCTGTCATGGAGATCAGCCTCAGTTCCTCCAATCAAATCTGGGGAGCCAATCTCCTATCAAATTGAAGCTATGGAATACCCAAAAAGAGAGTGGCGTCCCATAGCTTTGAATGTGCAAGATACCAACTACCAGTTGAGAGGATTAAAATCATCAACTGATTATTCTTTTCGTGTGCGTGCACAAACTCCTTCAGGTCTAGCAGATCCTACACCCCCTGTCACATTAACATCACTTCCAGGTAAGCTGACTTAAGTAAAACAATTTATTAAAAAAAACTTCATAATAAGCTTTAAATGCACTTTATTTTGAAAACATAAATAAAACTTGCTTTCTTCAATAAAAGCATATTGCAAAATATGTAGCTATTTCATGAGCAATTGACATATGTCTGTCTGTTTGAACACAATAACTTAAGTACCATTTCAGTAATGTTGACAAAATTATTATATCAAATTTGCTGTTCTGTATCAACTTTTGTGTGATTTCCAGAAAAACCGAAGTGGTACTTATTCTGCTTCTCTTTTCTCAAAAGCCAACAACTTGAGTACCATTTAAGTTAGGTGGACAAAGTTTCACATTTAAGTTTTACATAGTATGCGCCTATTTCTTTCAAATTTTTAACGATTTTCAGATATTGGAAGCAGAACTTTACTCTATTTTTGAATGAACACTATAAATGGAGTACTATTTTATTTAGTTATATAAAAATTCATACAATGACATATATAAGATTTTATTCTTTAGTTTTTAGTGTTGAGTGACCCCCGGTAACCGGAAGTGGTACTTAACTTTATTTCTGAGTAAAAATTTCAATTAGTTGGACAAAATTTTAAACATTGATTGTTAAAAGATCTTATTTTCTGTGTTCTCTCATATTTTGAGTGATTTCTGCTGAACACAAATATTACTTAATGCAATTTCCGATTTCTGATAAAAGAGCATTTTTACCAGACCAAGGGGTTGGCATGATCGAGTGGGTATATCTCATGGTTGCTAAACGAAAAGTCTCAAGTTCGAGGCTTGTTTGCTAGGGACAGCCAATCTTCTAGGAGAGACAACTCCAAAATCAAACAACTGCTGCCTTGTAGTTTGTTCTTGGTTGGACAAAGGCTATGGAAGCAAATCCAAAATGAAAAGCAGGCTGAAATTAGAGTCAATGGCCTCTATGGCGCATATCCAGTTGACCTTTCCAACACTAAAATTAAGAATGAAGAAGAAGAAGACCAGAGCCATTTCTTCAAAACTCTTCTTGCAGGTTTAGACTTGATGATATTACATTGTGGCATAAACTTTGACGGAATTAGATGTTTGAATTAACTTTTTAAAAATCAATCGATGTTCCCTTTATAAAGCACTAATTTTCTGCTGTATTTTACACAACATTACTTATGTTCCTTTGGTGCATAATTGTTTTTTCTAAGGATTCTATTATATTTTTTTTAAATTGTGAGAAGGGGAGATCACTCTCGCTTTATTTTTAATAATTTTAAGTGCATATAAAATCTTATTATAATTTTTCTTTCTCCTATTTACTAATTTGTTTTTAATTAAATAGATACCACATAAATTTAAAAATATTTCCTTTAAAACTCAATAAGTAGCTTATGTTCTCTAAAAGTCAGTTATCTTCCCTTACTTAACACCAGTGAAAACCAGCTTTCCATGACAAACTGTTGACTGTTGTAAACAGACTGATCTAGTAATTGTTTGTTACTAATTGTGTTGTTATCTCCCATTCTGCTACTAAATTTAGAAATTTTTCAGTTAAATTTTAATGACTAATTATCTATCTAATTCAATAAAAATTGAGATATTCTTGCTCTGTCATATAAAAATCACTTGCCTGGAAAGTTTTAACAAAATTGCTGAATTAGAAGTGATTAAAAAATTGAGTTGCAAAATTTGCCACAACCCTCAAACAACCACATTGCAAATTAAATCTATGATACCTTGCAAATATATGGGTTGGGTGATACCTTAATAAGCTTATTAAATATTACATTCTTACTCAACTACAAAAGCTTTAATCTGGGTGAAGATTGTTGGCACTTGCAAATCTTTTTACTACAGTTTTCTAGATCACTATGATAAATGAATTAAATGCTGTGTACACTAGGGAAAAAATAGCCTACTTAAATTCATTAGTAATATTTAGTTAAAACAATAGAAAAATTGGGAAGTAAAATGTATTTTGTGTTGTTATGTTTTCTATTACGGTTTGTGTGTTGTTTTTTTTTTTTGTGTTCTGTTTTGTTTCTGTTCTTTAAAAAAATGTATTTTTTTCCTGTTCAGATTAAAATTCCATTTACACTTAAGATTTCTGTTAATTTTAAATGGTGGTTCAGATTTAAGTTTAAATTCCCGTAAAAGTTACAGTCTGGTTAAAGTTATTATTCCCATTAAATCTCTGTTTCTGAATAAAATTTTATTCTCTGTTAAATTTTCATTTCAGGTTAAAGCACCTGTTATGATTAAAGTTCCTGTTAGAGTAAAATTTTCTGTTCCGGGTCAAATGTCCGGATCCAGATCCGATGAAAGATCCGATGAAATATCTTGTTCAAGTAAAATTATGTATTCCAGATAAATTTCAACACTTGTAAAAGTTCCAATTTTAGTTCAGAGGTTTATTTTTAGATTTAGGTTTCGGTTAAAGTTATGGTTCAAGTTCTAGTTCTGTTTAAAGTTCAAGTTCCAGTAAAAATACAGATTCCAATTCAGTTTAAATTGCCATTTTCCAGTGAAATATGCGGTTTTGGCTGATTTTCCGGATAAAGTTGCGTTTCCAGATAAATTATTAATTCCGGTAAAGTTTGGTTCCAGATAGATTTCAGGTTCTAGTTCAGAGGCTTAGGTTTAGATTTAGATTTAGGTTGATGTTTAGACATTGGTTTTAGTTTAGGATAAAAAAAAGAAACTCTATCAGCCTAGCACCCATGGTATTTACCCCTCTTTTGACTATATGTCTAGTATTATATATATATATATATATATGGCACATTTTCTGGTCTAGCCACACCACCTAACCCACATAGCTGCATATGCCCATGTGCCAAACATGGAGACTTACTGATTTGTCTTATTTACCAATAAATGACTTAGACACTTTTATCAGGAGCCAATAAATCAGACTGTCATATTTGCAGTGCATTTTTTAAATGTTGCGTTAAAGTTTCCCAAAAGAAGTTATTTTAATAAATGGTGTTTGAAGATGCAGTTCAAGATGTGTAGAAGTAAAGGTATGCAATAAAAGACATAAAGAAAATATGAAACATGTGACCAGCCACCTTATTGTTGCTGCCTCTTTTACTATAGCTCTTGGGAGTACACACATTATATATATTATGTATATATATATATATATATATATATATATATATATATATATATATATATATATATATATATATATCATCATATATATATATATATATCATGATATATATATAATGATGACTATTTTGTTACATTTTCAATAAAACAACAGTGAGACCCCGTCTTCCTGTGAGAGAACCCTTGATTTCTGAAATTGGCAATGACTATGTTAAGCTTCAGTGGAGACCAGCTGAGCTGCCTTACTATTCTCGACATACTACTCCAATAACTTACACAGTGGACTACCAGGTATTCAGTTTCCTGTGTTATAGAATTTTTTTTTCAGCAAAACCATTGAGTTATGTTTTGTAATATCAATGTTACTTAATAAAAGAACCTCACAAAATGACAAAAATAAGAAAGTATAACAAAGTTGTTTCATTTTTCCAGGAAGTTCCAAAGTGTGCCTGGGTGAAAGCAGTTCAAGGAATACCTGACACATCATATACTGTTCGAGGTCTTCATCATGACAGAGATTATCGTTTTCGTGTTCGCCCTGAAACAGAGTATGGTCCTGGAGAATACAGTCTTCCTGTCCATGTTCATAGGCGCATAGGTGAATTACCTCAGTTTGTTTCTTTTACTTTATTAATCAGTTGTTTCTAATTTGTTCTTTTCCAATATATTTAAAGATCTTCTCTTTGTTTTTAATTGTATGTGTGAATCTGTTCACAGCGCCCTTACTGCCAAAAAAAGAACCTTTTCTCACAAAAGTAACACCATCTTCTGCCAGTCTTTCTTGGTTACCTGCATCATTGTCTTCTGGGGTGCCAAGCAAACCCATTGTCTACAAGATAGAGGGCAGAGAGCCACCTAGTACTTTATGGTATGAAATAACTAGTCGTTTGCCCGCGACATCATTCAACCTTCAGTTTTTGTATCCTGATCAAGACTACATGTTTCGAGTTACTGCTGATTATGATGGTGTAGAGAGTGAGCCTACAATGTCAGTGTATTTACCACGAAGAGCTGGTGAGTCAACATTCACTTTTTAAGATGCAAACATAAACTTTAGTATGTTATATAGAGCTATATATTTTGTTTGATATAAAAGCATGGATTCATTGTCTCATATTTATTTAACACTTTGGAATATTTTTTTTTGCAAATATATTTAGTGAAAAATTCTTGTAACTTTTTTATTGCTGTCAATTTTTAACTTATAGATCATAATAATGATGGTAAACATATTCAAGCCAACCAAATATTTTGTATAGCCTACATTGAATATAAATGAAATCATATCCTTTTAGCTTCTATTGTATCACCTGTTCCTTGGGATACACTCTTCATTACTCAACATTATACAAAACCAATCCCATCAACATGTTACTTAATTAATTGTAAAACCCTTTAATGTGTAGATGAATCACAAACAACATTCTGTAATGTGAAGCTATTTTGTTTTTTTGTTATAAATAGGTCCTCCTAAAATGCCAAAAGATGCTCCATATGTGTCCAGTGTTCAACCAGAATCTGTCATTCTTGTCTGGCGTTCTGTGGAACTTCCCAGCCGAATCACTGACTATTCTCCAGTTACATACAGAATTGAGGTTTTTAAAAAATTGTATCATCTTATTACATTTATTTAAGTGAAGAAGACAAGACATTAAAATAAGTTATAAATTCTGAAATACTATGAGATAAATTTATTATATTTATGTTGTCTAACTGGTTGGGAAAGTCTTGTATTAAGCACTATGCGCCTGAATAATTTATCAAAGAGCTTTTTTAAGATTAACTGACTGTGTGGTCAAGTGCATGATTATTAACCTAAAAGGCCTTGAATTAATTTCATGGGCTTAAGTACATAAGAACCTCCATGAGCAAACCTGATTTAAATTGGGGAAAGATATTTCTGTAACAATGCTGACCACAATGTCCATCATATGAAGAGGTCAAAGAAAAATGGGGCAAACGGGTGGCCTAGTTAACTTTTTTTAAAAACAGAATCAATGATGAAATTAATATGAAGGGGGAGAAGTAGTTTTTATGTTTTATTTTTTATTGGCTAATATTTATAGAAATATTCTGCTGAGTGTTTGGATCCCAGGCTTGAGTCTGTAAGATGTCCACCCAGCTTTGATGGGTGGTCTAACTGACTCACATTAGGGAAACTAAAGTCTACTGGGCATAGTTCTTACCACACTATTTCTTCAAATACAAAGATCTCTGAAACAGATGACCTCTACTTCACCTGCCACATGGATACTTTAAGTAGTTTAATTATAAACTAATGTTTTTTAGAAGAACATTTTAGTAGCCTATATACTTTTCTTACCAGATTCAAGAACACCCTAGATCTGATTGGCGTCCTCTTGAAAGACAACTTAATCAGACACATTTTCATGTGACAAAACTTCGACCAGATTTAGAATATTCTTTTCGTGTTCGAGCAGAAAATGAATATGGTGTCAGTGACCCTACTGATTCTGTAGTAGTTAGAAAAAGAGCAGGTAAAATACATTCTTAATTTTATGTTTAGAAATATTTTAATGCAAAAAAATATAATTGTGATAACTTTGGTCTATTTTTTTTTACCTTTGCATAACTTTATTACTGCACTCAAATACATTTAGTATTTTGAACATATCTTCTATTTTAAACTAAAATTAGTAAAATGTTTTCACTTTATTCATTGACTGCCTTGATGTGTCTCATTTTTTAAAAAACATTAATATTCATTCTTGTTTTCATATAACAGTACCTCCTGTAATGCCTCAGCATGAGCCTCTTCTGTCTGATGTAAAATCAGACTCATTGAGACTTACATGGCTGCCAGCAGAAGAACCATCCTATTTAACTGACAGTATTCCTATAACTTACACTGTACTTATGCAGGTTAGAGTTATCAGTAGTTACATTTTTAGACTGTAAAGTAAATGTTTAATACATATCTCTTTTTGTATCTGTCAAATTGGAATCAAGTAGGATTAATATAAATAGCATTATGTTATCTTGTCAAGCACTGCAAAAAATATTTTTACAAATTCTAGGAAGGTGGAGACACTTCTTGGCAGCCAATAGCCAGGCGTGTAGCTGGCACAAGCTATTATGTAACAGGATTGTCACCTGACTGTGATTATTCATTTAGAGTTCAGGCTGAAAATAATTTTGGTACCAGTCTACCTAGTTTTTCAACACGCCTTCATCGTCAAACAAAAGGTACACAGAAATATAAAACTTTGTAATTATAAAATTTTTAAAAAATTTTAAAGGATTTAATTTTTTGAATGAGTTTTATTTTCTGTTTGAAAGTAGTCGATCAATAGGATTTTTAATGCTTTAGTTATATTTTTGAATTGTTTTAGGTCCTATTTACTCACCTGAGATAGAAGATGTGGAGGCTTCTGCATTTCGACTTTCCTGGAAGCAGCCTCCTATGTCTAAGAAAACAACTTATTCAGTGGAGACTCTTGAGCCATCAACCTGGAAATGGCGACCTCTAGTTTCTCGATTACCCCATCCCAGTTATCGAATAACCAACATTCAACCAGCAAAAGATTATGCATTTAGAGTTAGAGCTGAAGTTGACTCTATCATCAGTGAACCTTCTTTACCCATTTCATTTTCAAGTCGAAGAGGTGAACATAAAAATTTTTTACAAAATATTATCCATTTTAAAATTGTTTCAGTTCAACAGCATTTTTCCAATAACTAAAGACTAAAGTTATCTTAGTCATTTAATAAATTAAGTTATCAAAATTTGGATTTTCACAATTGTAAATTACATCAATTGTTAAATATATTCACACACCTTTTTTCATAATCTGTTTTACTCTTTTTTTTATGTTCTCCAAAAATCTATTTTCTTTCATTTAATTTACTTTTTCTTTTGTAGTTGAGTACTCATTCTGGTGATTTTTTAAAATAATGTTTTCATAGTGTCTGTACAAATGCTAAGTTGACTTATTTCTTACTTAAGGAAAAAAGACCTAGTGATTTGTAACTGTGTTCCATTTGGTTTTATGGATTTTAAAATAAATTTTACTGTCTCTTAAATGGTCTAAATTATTTTCACACAACCAACTAATAATAGTGCTATTAAAAAGATCACTTTTGTATTGTCCCGAAGTAAAAAAAAATGAAAATAACAAAATCTCTTAGCTTTGTAGAAAATGAAAAATATAATTGAAATAACTCTTAACAATTTGTTGTACTATATATTTTACTTTCAGGAAAAACTGAATCAAATTTGAAATGTAAGGGTTTAGATTTAATAATAATTTGTGTAGCTTAAATTGCACTTGTATCAAGCACATCTTGCACTTTACTTATTTAAGTCAATGTCAAGTTTTGCATTTTTATTCAATGTCACATATTAATAAATTTAACCAATGCACACAATTTATAAGATAATTCTTCTAAGGGAATAAGTATAGCTATGAGGTCTAAATTTTTAAAGAAAAAGTACTGAAAAATTTTGATACTACTATCTTACCAGTCAATACATAAATTCCGTAGTATTTAAGTATGTGTTAAGATAGTTCTTTGAGAGAGCCACCAAAATGTTTTTCAGGTAAAAATGAGAAAAATGTAGACCTGTCAGACAATATTTTGATGTAGGTTAAGTTTTAATATTTCTGAATATACATTTGTGTAGCTAGGGGCAAACAAGAGATGTTTAGCTTCCTAGATCCATCTGCTTATTTAGTATGCACAATTTCTCCTAAAAGAAGCATAGACCTTTTTAATTTATTTTTCAGAATTTTATATCATTAAATAGGAAATGCTTATTATGACAAATGAATTTTCATGTTCAAGTTTTCAACTAAATTATTCTATTAACCTCTGTGCTAACAAAGTTATTATGTTTTAAAATTTCAAATCTGTATTGTACATTTGTGTTATATTATTCACTACACTGCACAAGCCAGCAATTTATTTTATGTGTGTGTGCGTGCGTGTGTGTGCGCGCGTGGGAATTATATATAGGGCCTATATATTTATATATAAATACATATGTTTATCTTTATGTTCATATCATCCTCATAACTGCCTGTCACTCCTACTGGGGTATGAATCACCAACCTCTATTCAGTGCCATTTTCTCAACCTGACTAAGGCCTTCAGGTTTGTAGTTGCCAGGTGTTTCTTGGTTGACCTCTTTTGCAGTTTGATTGTGGGTTCCACCTTAAAGCGTGCCTGGTGATCCTGGTTGGCAACAGTCTGCGCAGTGTGTGCCCAATCCAACTCTACCTTTTTTTCCTTATTCCTTCATCAATGGAAAGTTGTCCTGTCATTTCCCATAGGGTTGTGATGCTCATTGTGTCAGGCCAGCAGATCCTGAGTATTTGTCTGAGCCAACTATTGATAAAGATCTGGACACTTTCAATGGAGATCTTAGTCATCCTCCAAGCTTCTGCCCCATTGAGCAACAGAGTTATAAAGGCATACCTTGTTGGTCAAGGAAACCTCACTGGAAGTCCAGATGTTTCTTAGCTGTGCAAAGGATGCTATTTATTGATCCTTGCTTTAACACATCAAGTTGTTCACATTGAGTCCACTGGATTCCATTTCTGTGTTCTCTAGCTGTTGTCTTCATGTTCCATTTGAAGGTAAGAAGGAAGAAGATTTGTGACAACATGCATCATTGACTGACTCCATTTTGCACCTGAAAATTGTTTGTAAGTTGCCCTCCATAGACAACTCTACAGGGCACCACATTCTGTGTGTTTTAATGAGATTTACTATTTTCTTTGAAATGCCATAGTGGCTTAAGTGCTTCCAGAAGATATCTCAATCCACATTGTCAAAAGTTTCCTAATCAATGAATTTACAAACATTAATGAGTTCCACTATATTGACTGCTCAATTATGATGTAGAGGGTTGGGATCTTGTTCCTGCAGGATCTATTATGTCAGAATACTGCTTGCTCATCTCTTAGCTCTGTGTCAAGAGCATTACTCATCCTATTCAAATGACCCTATTAAAAACTGTCCAAGGTAGTGAGAAGAGTATGATTCCAATGTAGTTAATACATTTACTAAGGTCACCTTTCTTGGTGATCTTTATCAAGTAGCCTTCCTTCTAGTCTGTTGGTATTTGTTCCTCCTCCCATATCCTCTCAAAGAGTGGATGTAACATCTGAAAAGAAGGATTTCCTCCTGTCTAGTTTGATTCTCCAAGCTGCATAATGGTAGGTTCAGAGGTATGGGTCTATTTAGGAGTTCTTCAGAGTGTTTCTATCCATCTGTTGGTCCAAGCTTTTGGTGATGTTCCCTGTTTGTCCATGACAGATATATATATATATATATATATATATATATATATATATATATATATATATATATATATATATATATATATATATATATATATATATATATATTCATATATATATATATATATATATATAAATATATATATATATATATATATATATATATATATATATATATATATATATATATATATATATATTCATCCATATATATTTGCCCCTGTGTATAGAAATATATTTATGTTGTGTATAAACATATATATATCTATATATATCTATATATATCTATATATATATATATATATATATATATATATATATATATATATATATATATATATATATATAAATATACATGAATATATAAATATGTTTAAATATATGTGTCATTTGTTTTAACACCTACCTCACACTCCTTCACCATTTCTATGACACTGACTAAAACAGTAATTTATTATGCTTATACTAATGTTAAACCAGTGATACACAAATATAATTGTATTAACATTTTGAATTACCTTTTTTTAAAAATAATAATATTCATTTGGTTTATTTAAAAACTTGCATTTTCTGTTTTGAAAAATGATAATTTTAAATGTAATTAGTAGTTATAGTCAATATATTTATTATTATTTAGAATACATTCTAAAATATTTTTAAAAGCCATTATTATTAAGTTAATAGCAAAGAATAACCTGGAACTAAAATAATCTACATCATCCAACAATTTACTCAGTAAAATTCACCATTTAAAATTTAATTTTATGCCAAAAACTTATGTTTTTAATTAGCATTTTTAGGCAAAAATTTCAGGTCCGAACCTCTCCTCCCCTTTTTCATGTCTTTAAATTCTTCAGCTGATTATATATTTTATTATAAATATTCATTGAAATGTGTGTTTTTATGGATTTAATCTTAATTAATAGAAAAGTATGAAAAATGTTTTTTTTTCACTTACATTCTCAAAATGGAGATGGATTTTTTTTAAAAAGATGCTTTTTAAGTTCAGTAAATCATTTTGCTTGCACAGTTACAGAGTTGCTGGGATTCTACAATATTGCACCAACTGGATGTGATAACAATATTTATTTCTCAGTAATTAATTTTAAGTTTCTCAAAGAAAGCACTACAAATAATAACTTACTCGCAGTGTTTAAATATAATCTTTCTAATTATTACAATTTAAAGATAATAAAAACGTTTTAAACCTTTTAAAACTAAATGTATCTCTTCCCTCCCCATTATCAAAAATCGTCACAACACCCCCCCCCCCCCCTCCTCAAATTGCAGTACAAGCAATTACTTTCTAAAAAAGTTTTCTGGGCTCAGCCAACAATAAGTTGTTAATCAACTTGTTTTTATAAACCACAAAAGTCCTCTATAAATAAGTGCAAATTTCAATTTCTAAAAATACTTTTAAAAAATGCAAACATATATCATCACACCTTCTGAACATCTCCCCATCATCATACATCATCTTAAAAGTCTAAACCACCCTCTGCCCTTTACTGTCATTTATGAACAACCCCTAGTAAGCTATTTTTCTCTAAAAATAACAAAGTGTGATAAAATAAAGTATGTCACTTTGAATGTGGCTTTAAGGTAAGGCAGGTCCTAGATATGTTATATAATATGGTCCATCATATGAGGGGTGGTGGCCTATGGAAATGTAATATGCAACAATGCAGGTGGCTCAATGTTTCTGTTGTTGTGGATTGTTGTTTTTTTTTATATATTTTTCTTGGCGCTGTAAAATAAAATTCTATTTTGTTGGTTGTTTTGTTTTTATATTTTTCTTGGCACTGTGAAATAAAATTCTATTTGATTTAATTTTCAACTTTGCAGCATTGCCAACTGTACCAGTGGAACGACCAACACTTTCTGATATTTATGATGACTCAGTTCGTGTCAACTGGCATACAACACCATTTTATGGCCATGTTATGAAATTACCTCAAAGTTATAGATTGGAGGTTGGTTGTTTTTTTATATTATTTTTTGCCAAAACTCTATAAAAGTAACACTAAGTGCTCAATTTGAAATCAGACAAAATAAAAAATTTCTGTGCAATAATAAAGTATAACGATGACAACTTTAATAAGCAATGCAAATAATTATGTCTCTCATGATATTAGATTCTAATCAATTGTTTTCTTATTATTCATATATGTTGGAAATAACACCTTGGGTATTAGATATCTTAGATGATGAAATTTTAAAAGATATTTATTCAAATGATAATTCTTTATGATGATTGTAAATATCTCTCTATAAATACAAAAAATGTGGAATATAACATATAATAAGGTAAAAGAACTACCAGATGGCTACTGGCGAACCCTTGTAGCACACACTGATCAGTGGAGTTATGAAGTGACAGATCTGAGACCCAATCAAGACTATGCCTTTAGAGTTAGGACAGTAACTCAAAGTGGAATGTCTGAGCCCTCATTGCCAGTATACTTGTACAGAAAAGCTGGTGAACAAAAATATCTTTTATTAATTATTAGAAAATTTTATTGTTTGTAAATATTATTAATTAATAGCATTTTTAAAATTCTTGATTAAAGTTGTAACCTTACTAAAAAGATTTCTTTTTATTTGTTAATTAATTATTTATTTGCATAACTTTTTAATCATGAGCTTAACATTGATTTATTTTAAGCAACTCCCAATTTTCCACTACCACCACCTGAAATATCTGATGTTGGTGATGATTATATTGGCCTACGCTGGAAGCTTGTTGATATCCCTGCATTTGATGTAGATGAGACTCCATTATCTTTTATGATAGAGGCTCAACGGCTACCAGATTATAACTGGCAACCTGTAGCTAGAGGGCTAACTGGAATGTCACATAAGGTCTTTGTTTTTAGTAGTTAGTTTAACATGTCAACTATTATAAAGTTCAAGTTCAGCAGTAATTTCAATTTCTATGTTAAAAAATGCTTGTGTAAAAGCTTTATGGTTAATTTTTTTCTAAAGATGGTGTATAATATTAATTTATATTTTTGTAAGCCATTTATAGATCATTTAGTTATAAGCAGTAGCATAAAAATCTTTTCCAGAAGTTAATAGCCTATAATTTTAGCCTATAATGAGTGACCACATTTTACTATTGTATTCTTACTACTACTTTTTTTTTAAATGTTATGAATTATTAAAATTTTAAAACAGAAAATCATAGCAAAATACTCTTGAACAACATTGACTTAAAGTGCTAATAAATCTTAGTCTTGAGATCATTTTCATATTAGAATTATTTATGAGATACACAATGGGTTCATTAAAACAAAATAATATCACTTTTTAAAGTATTTTGGTGTATTTCACTATATATCACATGTATTTCAATGGTCAGGTTTATTTACAATTTATAATGCAATATGAGTGGTATAAAAGAAATTCTCCTGGTGTATGACTTATAAGTTGAATTATTAACTTGGCTTCGGCTGACTTTATTTGTATTATCACGTCATAGTTCTAATGCATTGAGTATAAATAATATTATTAATATTCATTTAACTTATTAATTCCAAGGTTATATGTCAGCTATTTGAAGAAAACATACTGTATTACAATTTTTTTGAGTAAAATAACACATTCTTAGGTAGCTGGTTTGGATCCCAGTCATGACTACAACTTTCGTTTGCGTGGTGAAACATCACTAGGGGTGACACAACCTTCTCCCCCTACCCCACTGTACAGGCGACCCAGTAAGTGAATATGACATCAACTAACAAGATTAAAATAAATAGTAATTTATTTATCATAAATTATTTATAACTTAATCATTTAATTTATAAATATTGTTGATTATTTTATTTAGTAAGAATATTTTTCTATGTAACCATATTTACAGTTCAATCAGGAGTTCCTATTGCTAATGTGACTATTGATACAGTTCATCCTTATTCTGCTAATCTTCAATGGAATCCAGTTTATTCCCATCCCTATTCAACATCAAAAGGTTTAAAGTATACCATTGAGGTAAATGTAAAAAAAAAATTATGTTAAGTTCAAGAAGAGCTAAAATTGGAATGTACAACAAATAACTAGGCACACTCATCACAAAATGACCCTATAAAATCAAGCATAAAAACTTGCATCCCTAAAATGTATATCCAACAGGTTCAAGAGCCACCAAGCAATGAATGGTATTTACTAGCCCATGACATTACCAATACAAGCTATGTTGTGCCAGATCTAAGCCCAAGAAAAGACTACCTTTTCAGAATCAAGGCCCAAAAAGGATCAGGAGAATACAGCCCACCAACTGCTCCTATTCCATTTTACAGAACTCCAAGTATATCATTTTATTTTCCTTTGTTTTTGATGACTAAAGTTAAAACACATGAAATTAATGCTTTAATTCAAATCAAATTTTACCCTAAAAAAAAGCATAGTGGGTTGTCGTGTTTTTTCTTTTGAAAAGATCTGAATAAAGTTGCACAATTTTTATTAGTGCAGTGGTACCTCTAGATCTATCGCTTTAATTTGTTCCATAATATTACTTGTATCTCAAAGCAATTTTCTCCCTTGAAATTAATTGAAGTGCCGTTAATCCGTTCCACCCCCTAAAATGCCACCCCAGTTGTTTAGTTAATAAGATAAGTGTTTTTATACATGACAAGTATTATTTAATAACAGTCAAGGATAGTGCAAAAAAAGGGGGTTTTATAAAGTGTATTTACCTTGAAAATCAGCCAACTTGAGCTTATGGAGTAGATATAGGCCTAGTGTAAGGAAGAGGAGAATCATTTTGTTCCCTGTAAAGCTCTTTCTGTCACTTTAATTCACTTACTTGTTTCACTCTTAATGCTACACTTTATTCCATAACTTAACAGAACTTTAACATCACCAAGCACAATTGAATCTCAATGTTATTGGATAATGTTTTATTACTATCGCCTAATTTTCATCACTGCTTTTCTTTTCACTGGTCATATCTCAAAAATCTCTTATTTATCTCTTAGTATGTCGGGGTTCTACTGCATGAAATCAAAGATCAACCCTATGCCTAACACGGGTGGTTTGAGAATGGCAAAATTTGAAATCTTTTTAGACTGGCTTTATCAGTCCAGCTTCTGAATATTTTTTATTATGCTCAGCATTAAATGTAATAAATACCAGAAATGGTAAACTCATGTTTATATTACTTATTACTTATTACTATTATATAAAATAAATGGGTAACAGGTTGTTTATTATTACTTTGCTATAACAGGCTAAATGATGGTATAGAGAGCAATTATATAACACTGCTTTTGGTTTGTTTTGTTTTTCAAATAGGCTGACTCGACTTGCTCACATTTTTATCTTTTTAATACATAATTTCACTTTACAACTTTTTTGGCAAAGATGTGGCAAACGTTTTTTTTTTAATTAATTTGATTGGTTGTCATAAGTTAATTTAAATATCAGTAATATCACAGATAAAATATAAAAAGTTATGTAATGATATTTGGGGGAAGTGTGATGTTGTAGTCTTTGGGGGGGGGGGGGGGGTCTATTGAAATTATTTTTAACAAATGGTATATCCCATTAAACAAGTACTACTAGATTCAAATTAATTCTTACCTTACAAACATTAATTATCTTTACTTACAGAAACTCATGAAATATTAATAATTTTCCAGCTTCTGCCATAAACCAGATCCCTGCTTTGACTTATCCAACAGAAGAGTATTTTCCTTTAAATAGACCATATATAGAAACACTCATTCTTCGAGGTAAATATAAATAATTCTAAAAATATATTTCCTTCTTATCTGCAATTAAACAGTTTTATGACTTGAGCCATGTTTAATTGTAAGTACAACTGCCCTGAAACTGGTCTTTAGGAAAATTTCACTAAATTGATCTATGGTTAGCTCTATATAATTTTAGGAAATCTAACATTTGATTTTTTTTCACTATCTAAATTTCTTGAATCGGTTCCTTAACTTTGGCTACTTAAGAGTGTGCCAGCAGGCTTAGTAGTTAATTAAATCTGATTTACTTTTTAGTCTTATAGTTTTTAGTTTTAGTCTTACGATAAACATTTTTAATTCTCAAATTATCAAAAGAAAAAATTTTTTACATAGCAGTACATTACTGAAGAAGGGGAAATAAGTGGTTGAAAAGTTTGATAATATAAGAAAAAAACTTATAATTTCCTTTTATTGTACTTCCTCTAAATTACATTTATTTTACCTGTTGACAATTAGTATTATGAGTTGGAGAGTTGTTTTTTTGTTTCATTTTGAATTCAAATAAAATGGCATACACTTTTACTTACTTTTAAAAAATTAGGTATGGAAATAATGAATTTTCTCCTAATATTGATTTTACATTTTTTAACTTTCACAGTTCCACCAAGGATGTCTATAGAAAAGCCAACAATGACAGTAATCACTCCAGAAAGTGTGCGATTAACTTGGAAAGCTGCTCGAGTTCCATCTTCCACCGCTTCCATGTCACCTACAACTTATAGGGTGGAGGTAAAATAGTTACATACATTTCTTTTAAGCTGTCATTTTGTCAATCATTTAATGCTTATTCAGTTACCAAGTGATCTTTCTGAAAAAAAAATTAAAAATGTTGAATCAACTGCTATGAAATTTCCAGGTTCGTCATGAAGACTCTTTTGAATGGATGGAGAAAGCTACACATATTTCAGGTCTTACAACAGAAATAAAAGGGCTAAATCCCCACATAGACTATGCATTTAGAGTTAGAGCTGTTAATGATTTTGGCTGGAGTGAATCTACATTACCAGTTTTTCTCCATAGACCTCAAGGTAACAGTGGATTCTTTTTTTTATTACAAAATCAGCTGCCATGCAATATACATTGTATCTTTATTCTTATTTTGTCTGGAACAGAATACACATTTTGCTATTTTTACTTTCTTGTATATACGAAGTATAGAGAAAGTATTGTAATCGTGCAAAAAAAAAATCGAGATTTGATTTTTACAAATCTCGACGTTTTACATCTCACTGATACGGAAAAACATAATTTTGCAATCTTGTCCGTATGTCTGTGTGTGTGTCTGTCTGTGTGTAAACACGATAACTTGAGTACCATTACAGCTAGGTTGATGAAATTTCATATATAAGTATTTTATCAAAATCGTAGATCCGTATCAACTTTTGAGCGATTTCCGATAACCGAAAGTGCTACTTTTTCTACTTTGAAATTTTAAAAAGCCTATAACTTGAGTACTATTTCAGATAGATAAATGAAATTTCACGTGTAAGTAAAAGATCTAATTCTCTACCTTCTGTC